ATTATATCCAAACACAACTACAAAGCTTCAGAAGTTCCCGATGATCCAGTCCTCATAATTGGACAAAGAGCCAACACAGATCCATGACATTGTACAGTGTACTGTTTTGGCGGAGAGCCAGATTTCACATTTACACAAACCTTGCAATGGTATGCAGCTAGCTACTGGCACTTACTGTGCACATGTATAATTATTTTAAAATGTTTTATGTTCATGTAGATAATTATACTTCACCCTGGGAAGAGTGAGGTGGAGAGATTTGAAATGGTGGGCAGTAACATGGTAAGGATCATACTGCGGACAACTTCTGATCATACCAGTGGGATACTTGCAGTATCTTGGCCATGGTCTGGTTGAGTGTCCCCACATACCAGCCTAGCGCCTGTGCAATCCTCACCCATGCACTGAATGCCACTGATTCAGTTTAGCTGCTGTGAAGATGTGTGGAATTGCTCTACTTCTCTCTGCACAGGAAATGCAGTGTAGATGATGATCTCTGATCTACATGCGCATGCAAGGTACGAGTACAGACACGTCGCAGAGCATCCAGCACTACTTGCGATAGCTACAGACGGTCTACTCACAGGAAGATAGTACAAGTTAGTTGTACGCTGTAGCTGGACGAGGTTCACTGTTCGAAGTCATCAAGGCATCTGATTAATTTTCATTGAGGTCATTTTCTTCTGCTTGGCCCGACCATCCTCTGCTGAGTCACATTCAGGCCCAGTGCAATGGATGTTCTTTGGATGATCCAGTGAAGTCCTCACACAGCCCTCACCAGAACAATAGCCGTATGGACAGAATGGCAAAGGGTGCAAAGGACTTGTTGTCGAGTTGCAGTCCGACTCAGTTTGTCCCACGCTGCAGCACTCCATGGCCGTCCCTGGTGGTGCGTTCAGCCTGACACAACCATAGGCACCCCCGAAGGTGCATATACACTCATCCCCACATTCCTCCACGCACTGGACAGAATACTGGTAGCCGGAGAGGGCAAGGAGCCCGATGAGGACTCGATGTAACATTTTCATAGATATGCTAGCCGGACACTTTCAATAAACATCTCCTCAAAGACGGTACTCTCTGTGGCCAGTGTGGGCTTCGTGGCACGCTCCATTGGACTACACAATGTAATTACTTCGAAGTACTTGAAGCCACCTAGCCCTAGTCCACTCAAAAAGGCACAGATCCGTCCACTGTGAAGTGTCAAAATCATTACCACATTGGCACAAGGTGTCAATCCAAATTAGGGGAGCGATCAAAAATCTGAACCGGTGCCAAGGTTCTGTCTGTTGACATGGTTGATGCAAGGATTGTGGGCGAAACAGCATCAACTTCGTATCAACACTTTCAAAATGTTATAAACATGTGCTGCTCTCGTGCTGTTTTGCATGTCATCCAACCCAACGCGACCATATCATCCATGTCACCCAGCCCTGATGAACAAACATTCAAAAATGTTTTTAAACAAAATAATGGCAAGGTTGGATGAAAAAAGAGAGCATAGGTTGCAAAGGTGTGTAGAACTTACCGTAGGCACTCTAGAATGACTATTCTCAATACATGTACACCGCATTTCTTCGTAAGTTTGAGGCAGGGCAAATATTAGTATTTGTGTTGAAGTTAGCAAATGTGATTGAAGAGGATTTCCAGGGCGGCTTTATACAATGTAGGCTGTGGAAGGAACCTGCTGCAGTGCTGGTGCAAAGATTGGCATACTGTGTTACACCTCATTTAGGTATACCGGTACTAGAACTTCGGTGTCAAACTCAGAGTTGGAAGAGGGGTACCTTGGAGTGCATAGTTGATACGTACAGACTGTACATACTGCATTGTCTATTTTACTTCTATCAATCAGAGTCAGACGTCGGGTTGATTGATTCGCATGGGTTTCATCTGTAAGGTCTCACTGGATCTTGCATGACGTTTTCCATCACAGTCGTCTCCAACACAGCCGCTTGTCGTTGAATGAGGTTCGCGTACACACCCCTCATCAGAACATACACCATACGGACAGAATGGTAGTGGGTGCAGCGGACTGCTCGTCCCGTTGCACTCTGCTTCTGACTGTCCGGTGCTACAACACTCCATCGAAGATCCTCTAGGTGCGTCCAGTCTTATGCAGCCGTAAGCATCACCGTCGTGACTGCATGTGCACTGATCGCCACATTCTTCCGCACCGTTCGCAGACAGGATCGATGATGCGATCACAATGGCACAACACCTCAAGAGGAACATTCTGGGATTTACGAACTCTCCAAGACCATCCGTCTGCTCAGATCTTTAACTAATTTTTATACAGCCTCAAGGAGTCAAGGCCACCAATGCTATAATAATATCCGCCTGTTTGTGGTGCGACGTTAAACAAACTTCAACAACAACAGTGAATGATTATTGTAACTCTAGAAATGTACAGGCCTACCAATGAAACCTACAATCCAAGAGGCGTGGAGTGTATGGAGAACAATGATCTGTTGGCTGGCGTAGTTATGTGCACTCTGGAAACTGACTACAGACTACATTGTACGTAGCAGGGAGTCGTCTAAGCCGTTTATACGGCTCCCTGGTAAAATTGTACTCGTAGTACTAGTAGGCGATATCCTGTTCCGAGCCATAATGACACTCAGGTGGAGGATAATATTATTATTATGACTGCAACACGGCGGGTCACATGCGAAGGATCTTGGTTGTGTACATGCACTGGTGCATGGTAGTGGTAGCTGTGCTCCCAGATCATGATTGGAGACCAATGTGTGGAAAGACAGGGGCAATCCACTCAAGACTCAGCATCATGCCTTTGGAAGTAAAGACAGCCAACGTTTCGCTGCTACTACTACTACTACCTACCATGGCTCAATGCAGGTAGCCACAAGCAATACAAACCAGTCATGTAGTATTATGCCTTATGTCCACGTTTAGGATGTGAAGCGTCAACCACAGGAGGAATAGTTTGGGAGACGAGTGAGTCATCATGTAAATGTCAGTGACAATTGTCTTGATTTCATTCATTGTGCCATTTTCAAATCTCCCATTTGGAGAGATACTACTCAGCAAACAGAACTACTCATCCGATCATGGTACGAGTACAGCCATTGTGGCATGTACTTGTAGATGAGGAGAACTTCAAGACGAGTTAGTACAGCTGTTCAGTAATCAAACAGACTCCAGTTCTTCCTCAGGACTCAGTCGTATGCAACCTCCTCCTGTTGCACCGGCATATGGACAGTATGGTAGCGGATGCAGAGGGCTGGATGTGTCGTTGCACGCTTGATACGGCATACCGGCGCTACAGCATGCCATGGGAGCATCGCGCGGAGCATCAATTGCTTTGCAGCCATATGCAGCGCCATCCGAGCTACAGGTGAAGCCTGGGCCACATTCCTCTTCAAACGCAGGCAGCGGATTGATTCGAATTGGCCTCGTCATTTTTTGCTCGACATGATCACGGCTGTTTGTCTTTAGACTATGCACTGGCCGCCTGTAACACCCCTGACCTGGACAGCCTCCGGAAGGACAGAATGGCAGAGGATGCAATGGTCCACCTGTGCTATTGCAGTCGGCTACCGTCTGTCCCGCACTACAGCACACCAGTGGGCTACCTGCGGGAGCGCCGATTTTCTGACATCCATACGCACCACCGTCATGCGCACAAGCGTATCCCTCCCCGCATTCCTCCTCGCAACAAGCACTTACGGTCAGTAGCACAATCAGGAAACCCTGGAGAAGTCCTATGGCGAGCGCCATAGTCAGTGCGTCAATCTCTCTTCGTTCAATGATACTGTAACTACTTACCGACTAGTCGACCAAGAAACACGCCGGTACATGATTGTGTTGATGATTTTCAAAATAATTGTGTTGATTGATTTTGACTTCTTTGACAGGTCTTGTGATCATGGAGATGTTCAGAATGAGGTCCAAGAAAGGAGCAGGTTTTCGTGCGTTATCTCTTCAGTACTACAACTTTACAAGTCTACAATCATGTACTTGTAGTACAGTAGTATCGACGTGACTGGCTGTTCAGGTCGTAACAAATTCACTGCGTGATAATCACCATGCCCATGGTTATGCCGGCAATGCATGCATGCATCTTTTATTTTACTTTGGCCTTGCGAAGTAAAATAGAAATCAACAACAACAACAACAACAGCAACAGCAACAGCAACATCAACAGCAACAGCAACAGCAACAGCAACAGCAACAGCAACAGCAACAGCAACAGCAACAGCAACAGCAACAGCAACAGCAACAGCAACAGCAACAGCAACAGCAACAACAACAACAACAACAACAGGCACAATGATGCCCCACCACATATACTCTCGCTGCATACTGCTAACCTTCGTACATGTATATATTTACGTCGCTCCCGTACTTGGCACTTGCCAACTCCGCGGACTGATCGCTGTCTCCATTCTCCCCTGTACAAGGCCCTTCATTACTTTAATTGCTTGCCCACCCAGCTTCGCGAAGTCCTTTCTCGTACTCTCTTCAAATCCCAGACATCCCTGCTGTTGCACAACTCTGTATGCTCGTGTAGCGACCACCCCAGCGCGTACACTTTAAGACTTTAGTAGTCATTAATCCCTAGGCTCTGCCCACCCAATTCTTCCTCACTCTGTCTCCTCTCTTACACTATTATATCTTATTGGCCACTGGCTATCGTGAGAATAAAGATTTGAAACAACAACAACAACAACAACAACAACAACAACAACAACAACAACGACAACGACAACGACAACGACAACGACAACGACAACGACAACGACAACGACAACGACAACAACAACAACAACAACAACCACTGGCTATCGTGAGAATAAAGATTTGAAACAACAACAACAACAACATCGTGAGAATAAAAGATTTCAAACATCTACAGTCTAGCTCTGTGCTTACAAGGTGGTCAACAAGTTCATCTCTGGGTGACACTGGACCAACTCGTGACATCCTCGTTCTATTCTCAATCTTTCCTTGCACACAGGACGAGATATTACACATACTTCCGTAATAACGCCAAAAATACTCAATAGTGGCCGAATCGGTGGACATACTCATCCATGATGCGCCTTCCATCACTTGGTAGGTGAATAGGTAACACAATCAAAAAGGAATAGAAAAAAGCGGACACTTCATGAAGTGTATGGTTGAGAAAATATCAAAACTTGGCAGTTATCATAAATGAGTTTTTAAATCAATGAAAGGATTTATAAACATATTATTATCTAGAAAAAGTACTTGACAAAAATTGAAACGTAAATAATCTGCAAATACCATAGGTATTGATTGAGACTCATAGTGTACAGAAAGAGCTGTGGGTCTGGAAGGCAGAATGATGGGAAGTCTTAGGCAGTTGAGCATTTGCAAGTATAGTCTGATAAGCTTCGATTTGTACACGTGTGTGTGTGTGTGTGTGTGTGTGTGTGTGTGTGTGTGTGTGTGTGTGTGTGTGTGTGTGTGTGTGTGTGTGTGTGTGTGGGTGGGTGTGGGTGTGCATACATGTAAATACACGTGTGTAGTGTGTATATCCTGATCATTTCTTCTTCCTTCTTATATCCGTTTGTCTGCCATCGGATCTAGGCTGGGGAAGTTGGTGATGGTGACTTCTGGGACTCGACCGATAGAGAATTGATGATTGAAGTTGCCAGATCCACAATTTCCTTCCGGTGTTCAGACCCGTGAGCCACCTTCTGCAGTTGCTGATAGACCACCGATATGCGTACAGCTTGCATTGTATCAGCACCTTGGAGGCAAACAATGACATAGCAATGGCACAACAGCATGAGGTGTACATGAGAGCACGCAAGCAAGTGATATTTTGCATACAAAGCATTATCAAAACTGCACCATCATTGTGAGCATGCTTCCATGAAATACTGTAATCACTAGATATAACAACCGACATTGGTAAAGATGTTATCCGAAATTGGTAAAGATGTTATGGAGCCATCCACCCCTTGTGGCTCTGCCTTCAATTCCGAAATTGCATATGCCCCATTACCTGCGCTGTTGGTCTTTGTCAGAGAATGATGCGGGAACTTTAAGAAAGCAAAGAAAAATCCGTACAGAATGTGCAGATAAGAGGCAGAGAAACTCACCTCCTTTGCAAAGCTGCTGCAGTACCCAAAGCGAGAGATGAACAAAAGCCGGCTCTGACTGAAGCATTAGACCGTTCAGTAATTGTAGAAGAGATGGCTGGCAGCTAAGCAAAACTTGGTGAGTCGACACTATGTAACAAAGAAACAAGAAACATGACAGATAAAGACCACAACTTCCTTTTGTAACGAAGCCAATAGTGAATGGAACTTACCGTCAATGCAGGTAACAGGACTGGTTCAGTATTGTGGCAAACAAAATGGATCTGGCCTGTGGCCTGTCATTACACTGTACCTACTGGGAATAACTACCATCCAAGACACAAGGGTGCAAAAGGCATGCATACAGTGAGGGAATTTAATCATTCCTATCACATGTCCCTGTACTATCCTGAAGAGAAGGGAACGAAGACATTTGATAGATGAAAGTAAATGCCTAATTATTGATTGTGTGGATTTGCGTCTTTGCATGCAAATTTATACATTGCGAAACTATCACATGGACACAAGTATTTCCAACAGGCTCTGCCCAAGCCTGCCAAGTATTGCCTGTCAAATGGATAATGATGCACTACAGTGGCCAGAATTGCAACAACATCTCGCAACGAAACACCTAATCCTGTTACTCATAATGTGGGCCTCCACCAGCGAAAACAGCCCTTAGGATCAAAATTTTCAAAATTCCTTTTCAGTTAGAAATTTGTTGAAACACATCTACTGTAGGACCCTAGCCAAGAAAAAGTCCAACATTCCGATTTAAACCGGGTCTATACACCAATATACAAAATGTACTCCAAATAGGTGCAATGTATGTACCGTAAAGTCGCGGATAAAAGCCGGGTTTGCATACAAGCACATCGCGGATAGAAGCCTGAAAATCAAACGGGTCAATGCATATAAGCCTGTCGCGCGTAGAAGCCTGGCTTCTATGCAAGCGCGGATCGGGTAGGTCAAGAGTGCATGCGCTATGTACAGTGCATAGTAAAACTGCCGCCATACCGGTAGTCAGTGGTAAATCTACGCGTGTCGCGCGCAGAAGCCTGGCTTCTATGCAAGCCCGGATCGGCCGATGTGCATACAAGCCTGGCAAAAATATCAGTGGTGCATATAAGCATGGTTTGCATACACGCCTGGTTTGCATTGAAGCCTGATGCAGAAAGCGGCTTATGTGCTTATAAGCCCGGCTTTTATCCGCGACTTTACGGTATACGATGTATGTGTGCAATGATTATTCAGCATTCTAAAAGTGGGTGGGCAGCTTGAATACATTTGAAGTAGTGCAGTAAGCAGCTAGAATAACAAAGAATGGCTGAAGATTGTGGAGGGAATGATCGACACATTCGCAGCTGCATCCAGTGTGGAGTCGTTCCGCAATCTCATCTTCCATTTCTTCCTCCGCAGCTGAAGACATGATCTCCCTGCCGTCACTAGCTTCAGACTCAAATGTTATCTCAGAGGACGACTCCTCATCTTCCGACTCTGACGAGTCATCCGCCACCTTGAGCCGCTTCGCAGCAGGAGATGACGGCTGCGATTCCGCCTTGCTGTTGACATCGATGTCGGAACCAAAGAACGGCTCATCTTCACTCTGAACTTCAGCGGCTTCTTCAGCATCCACTCCCGACCAGGCTCGAACTGTACACAATGACCGCCGAGCGTGCTCTGCGAGCAGCTCTGGCGCGGCGTCCGCAGCCATCACGTCAAGATCAAGGAACACTTAAGTCGCCACTCGACACGACTTCAACTAACTAATACTTCAAAAATGTACTTCAAGCAAGGAGTTCAAGAAGTAAATAACTCGTCGCACTGTTCGCAGTGCGATGAAAAATCATCGAACGTCACAAATTTCTCGGAAAAATTACGAAATCTCTAAGGCAGTAATGGTCATTTTCACTGATTCCGGCTCAAGTGTCTAACTTCAGGGCTGGTATTTGGGATCACAAAACGGCAAACACGTCAGAGGCCATCTTGAATCACTCTACGTCATCAGATACCCGCACGTGATGCGGGGCCGCGAGATCGCGACTGTACAAAAGTGTACTTGCCAGTGCAGTCTTTGACCTACAATTGTAGCTGCAAGAGCAAGTGCTAGTTTATTTTTATTTTTTGGTGGTGCTTGAACTAGTTCGAACTGCTTCCCTTCGACTTTCTTTGACAGAGCGGGTGCTGTTAGGGTTTCCTGTTGTCAGTTTGTATCCACCACCGGTCTTGTATGTCAGTGCTTGTACAAGGAGGTGTTCAGTAGTTATTTTCAGTCCGCGCCATGGGTCGCATCCAGGGTAGGAAAAAGTCGCACTCTGACCGGCTTGATTATCCCGAGTCGAGAAAGAAACGAACTAGTGGCCAGTTCGGCTCAGTATCATGGCCAGCTGGACGTAGATCAGATCGCCCCGAGGTCGAACAAACCGACAGTAGTCCTGAAATCCTTACCTCGCAGAACATTGACGATGTGGAGCGCGGTGTTCAAGAACAAGGAACCATGGTCATAATTGGATTCGCTCCAGAAAAATTATTCTCGTGGTTCCCGGTTTCTTTCCCAATATTTCCTATGGTCTGGATACGTGCATCACGCTGAAGCCTAGATGAATCAGATTGTAAGTCAGTCTTCTCTCTAGCTCAAGATTTTGCGAACACGTTATCAGTGAACAATAAAAGCAAAGGACACAGTGCAACAAATGGAAAATGCATGTCTCCTTCTTTTCCTTGCCACGCGCACTGCACTGTCACAGTCTGCAGTTCTGACTGGAAGGTGTCTTCCGTTTGTGAAAGAACCAGCGCAAGTCGCGCGTGGCGCGGCGTCCTTCAAAACGACACAAGTGAGCTCCACATGAGCCGATTTTGACAATCGATGGCTCAAAATTTTCAGTAGAAGATGCTCCATACTCTCACCGAAGCGAATTTCGCCAAAATGATCCTAGAGGTGGGACACGTTTACCGAGTTTGAGGGTGTTATTTGAGGTCTAAATTGCGAAAATCAAAAAATCCTTCGGTGAATCCCTTTGCCCACATCTGAACTCGGTGCCTGCAAAATCTCAGCTTGCTAGAGAGAACTGTGGCTCACTTGCGTGGATTTGAACAGGCCAGAGTCGACGCGAAGTACGGCAAGATTCCCTGTACACAGCATGGTCTGACACATGTCACGTGAACCAAGATGGCGCCCACGTGTTTCTGTACAAGTACTAGCCCTGAACTTCAATTATGTTTTCAGCTAACCCTGGAAGTCAATGTACTCACCATCCATGGCAATGTGGCCAATTGCCCCAATGCAGTTGTAGCGCACCTCAGCATCTTGGCTATCCTTTGCTCGCACTAGTAGAGCTCGGCAGAGTGGCTTGCCACGTCTTGCCATGATGTCAGTGAGAGCATCCTCTGTGCAGTACAAACAACAGGACAAAGCAAGATTCGTTCAGTCAGTGAATTGCAATTCTATTAGGGTGTCCGGTGACCACATAAGTAGCTCAAAAATCTACCCTGAAGTTTGCACATGGTGGTAGAAACACACACCTGGCGAAATGGAGGCAAACACCCGCTTGCCCACACACACGCTCTCTGTGGGCAGACGGGTATGTACAGTTGCCTCATAATCTGACCATCACTTTACAAGCTGTAGTAAATAGGGGGAATGAAGTTGAAGACTCCATCTGCAGCTGTGCTCATGGTTGAATCATATGGCTGTAAAGACACATCTGGCAAAATTGCTGTAACTACATGCCCGCCCACAGAGAGCGTGTTTGTGGGCAGGTGTGGATTTACTGCCATTTTACTATGCTAGCATTTACCACCGCATCATTCAACCGTACAGCAAATTCCACTATATCGGTTCAGGGCTCAACAGAGGAAATGTTGCATTCACGAACAAGGCCAAGGTATCATCAATCAATATTCCTTACCGGATGCACATAGAATAGCTAATGCCGCTGTAGCTTCCGCTAGGACTGCATCAGGGCAGCGAGAATTGTCCAACAGATCCATAGCTGTATCAACAACACCTGACTGAAGCAGGGCCTGAAACAACGTAGAACACAGGATATTTCTGGTCAGCGTCAAAGCTACTCGCCCGTGTGCAAAGCTCGCTATTTTTCTTCCAGTTACAGCACTCTAACTTTGATGTTTTGAGCCGGTTTTTAGAATGCTTCGTTGTTTGCTGGACTTCATTGCAATCAGTTTGGCAAGTACCTCTGAACTCCACTAAGAAGACCTGACAAGGTGGAAACAGTTAGCTGTCCGGAGATAGAGTAGATTGCAGCATTATATGCAAACATTATAATTATTGCCCAATGCTGTAGACAGCAAGCATCGTATATTGTGCCTTACCGCAGTCTGCTTCTCGGCGGCAAGGTTCCGTAAAGTACCAGCTGCATGGCACTGCGCCTCTGGCCACCTCTCTCTGGTCAGCAATGTTGCTAGTTCAGGCAGGAAGTTACCTTTGACAATGTGGATCTGAGGCAATAGCACACATTCGGAAAATTCAAAGTCTAACGCAATTGCACTGGTATGCGTGTTGAGCAGCGTGCGTTTTCACGCAGTTATCATGTTCTTGCTGCTAATACGAATACATGAATAAGATATTCACTAGTTCAGGGAATGTAAGAGACAAATTCAATTTGTCCTCGAATCCGTAAGAATGGTATTTCAATTGAATGCTCTGCCATTTCTACTTCTTTTTTCATGGCTAGCTTCATCTGATACATCGAGATATCACAAAGCTGCAAGTCATAAGCATTTCACTGGGAACTTACCGCGTTGCCATCATGAATGGAAATATTTCTAACTGCTGCTACTGCCGCCGTACACGTCTCCTGGTCTTGGCTGTGTAGCAATGGCAAGAGATGATTCAATCCACCCAGCTGAACAATCTGCTCCTGGTTAGAATCTAAAGGAAGGACAGTGAAGAAAACAGGTTATAGCAAACTGATCACGGGAAGTGCCGGCGGTATGCTTTTTTTAATTTTTTTTTACGAAGAACACAAACCCGGCTCGAGACAAGAATCAATAACAATAAAGATAACAAAATTGCAGGGAGAACGAAGATACGACTAGAACACAGAAGTTGAGGGATGTGTACTCATTACCACAGGCTAGTAATGCAAGAAACAGAATCAGAAAAATTTACATTGCAAACAGCCCTGCCGTGGCATAACTCACCATCTGATGCTAAATTTCGCAGTGCTAAACATGCTTGTGACTTCACCTGCAGTCATAATCATGCACACACACACACACACACACACACACACACACACACACACACACACACACACACACACACACACACACACACACACACACACATGTGTTTGCATACGGAGCGTGCTAAAGAAGTAAAAGCTATAGTTGCAGCATAGCGCCCATGAAAAGAACACAGCTAAAACTAAGCCGATTTAACTATGTGCCATATTGAGGGAAAGAATACTCATTCCATTCTCATTCAGTTGAGCCACATACACCAACAAAACAGCTACAGAAGTTCTTGAATACCTTGTTGCTGCTGTTTGTAAGCAACTGTAGAAGATCAGGCAGAACAGAACCATTGTTGATTGCCACTATCGCTGCCCGGTGATGTTCTACGCAATGGGAAGTGGAGTCAAGAGCCAAATGTTCAGACCATGAAATTATCATAATATTATTGCCATGATGCTCAAAACCAGTACAAGTCGAACTAAAATGTTCACTCTTAAAGTGGAATTGGTGCAGTCACTGACGCATCATGTTGAAGTGCACACTACGCAATTGTTAGCTGCTCCCGGACAATCTCCAGGCTTATCTCTACCCATTTTCGTGAACACTATGCGAACAGAAGAAAAGTTCTTCCGTGTCATGTACATAATGTATATAGTCAGTCCAGAGGTGACCACCTCTGGTCCACCCTCATGAATACGCAGCGTAATCCACCCTCATGAATACGCAGCGTAATCCACCCTCATGAATACGCAGCGTAATCCACCCTCATGAATACGCAGCGTAATCCACCCTCATGAATTCACAGTGTAACCTGTCATCATGACAAGTCAGACCCACAGTCACAGCACCACCCAGGTTCACAGTGCAACAGTGCAGTGCGCATGTACAAGGGCCATGCAGTCCAGAACAGTTGTGTTCATGAGTTCGAGTTTCGCTTCACACCACTGTGCAAACATCCATGCTACAAGTATGTTTTTAATCACCCATTACAGCAGAAAACAAGTATACAGAATGTGGGTGGGAAACGCACCCAGAACAAGAAATGCGTTGGCAATGCTTTAGTGAATACCATGGTTATACGCAGGACCTTACCGTTGACTGCAATGTTGCTGAGTGCAGCGGCAGTGTAATACTGGACATCACGATCAGGAGACTTGAGTAGGTCGAGAAGAACGGGTAGAGCATTACTACGCACCATCTCATCCCTATTCGTGTCTGGTAAGCACATAGCAAACGGATATACTTTGCTACGGACAACGGCACGATTACGACTATAGTTACCGACCATGGCTTGTACGACTACAAGCTTCTCTTTCTGCTTTTGTCCGATCTAGTTACACACGGTCAACTGTTAGTATAATGTAGTTCATATACATTGTACGCTTTTCGTTTCGTCACCCTTGTTCAACACCGGCTTACTGATTTATTTAATTTCACCTGAGACCCTCTATTTATGATAGCCAGGCCTTCCATGCCATTTCCTGACGACAATTGGTGCTCAACATAGCACCATGAACATAATCGTCGAAACTATGTTCTCCTCAATGGCATAGGGAGAGTGTGCAACACCTCAGGGCACTTTCTTTTTAGCTTGCATGCGTTCACCTCGATGCAGACAGCACAACAACTGAGACACAAGGGAAACGATGATGGCAGCGCCACGGCTGTTTCTATCTTTTTCCCTTTTTTTGAACCCTGAAAGCAGAAAACCAGAACGTAACATCATGACAATATGTGCATACCACAATGCATGGCAACATCTCCATTCGGCATCGACACAGTACCCCATCAACAGTCATACCTATATGAGTGATGTTGAGTATTGCACCGGCTGCATTACGCTGCACTCTTGGGTCTTGGGAGCGTGCCAGCTGCAGGAGCGGCCTCAGTGCTCCGTGTTCTACGACATTGCGCTTGTTCACCTCTGCCAGAAGACAGATACACCGCATAGCAAAAACAAATTAGCTTCTCCATTGCAATAGTGAACACCACTTTGACCACACAACAAATATAAGAGCATGTCTCCACAAAAGTAGCACTGCTTCCCATGAGTGATCATCCGAGTGATGTTTCGACAACCGCTAAGCCGCATAATAAAGTGCAGATGCTAACACACTGTAGTGATCCTTTATGCACTCACCTTACTTAGCATACACCGTGAATTACCCGTATTGGGCTACTCACACATCCAGAAAAAACACTGTCTTATTATTGGTGGCACTCACCTGTAGTTGCTAACGTTGTTATACATCCACAAGCGTTGCACTGGACATCTTCATTACTGGAGTTCAGGAGAGAGATCAGCGGCCTCAAGGCTCCTGCTTGCATGATTGTGCGCTTGTTACAGGCTGCAAATACACATAATAAGCATTTTCACTTGCCATGTTGACTTTGACATTACCACTATGCTGCACATGTGTTTAGGGTCCCTGGGTCAACATAAAAAATCTAAAGAACAGTTCATCTAACAAGGTTGGGTCTAGAACGTCCTCACTCACCCGGTCCTTTCAAAGCTAAATTGCTAAGGGCCAGAGAGCTGGCCTGTTGCACCTCCACATCATGGACTTGAAGGAGAGAAACAAGAGCTTCCACCATCTCCATCTTCGCCTCGGCACGCACTACAGCAAGCAACACAATAATTGACAGCACAAAAATATATTGTACAATAGCAGATAGTAGAAAAATGCCATTAGTTGTTACACTAGATAGAAATGAGTAGTATAATCTGCGCACTTATGACACTAAATTTCAATGTGATGTGTCATTCTAAATTTCAATGTGATGTGTCATTCTAAGCTGATGTTGTTTGTTTGACGTGAATGCATTCGTGTGCGTTTGTGTAGTTGTGAGTGCTTATGCATGGATATCTGTCTACTTTGCCTACATCTGTACTTGTGCCATGCTTGTAGTGATCCTTTCCTGCGTCAACATACAGCTTGACCAGACTACCCTAACTCACTGTCTATTCGTATGCTTTATCGAGCAACAGCCGAAAAGCAGTCTACTACAGCCCTGGTCCGTGACATTCACTGCGATGAATGAAGTAGTAAAGCGTTCCAGTTCATCACAGTGGAGGCAATGCTAAGACTGTAGACTACTGCTAGGACCCACCGCCGGACTATCCTATTCAGGAGGCAAACTGCACTAGCCAGTACTGTATTTTACGAGTTGAACAATAGCATGACCTCCACCAGTATACAGTAATTTTACGGCTGGAGGGACACTATAGTGAAACATCAGTGTAATAGCCTACATATCCAGGAAGTACTTCCAAGGCGCGTAAAATTCTGCATTCTATTGCCGAAGTACAAGTATCTAAGGTCAACTGACTATTGCCCGTAGTCCTCAAAAGTAGTGCCTTATATCACAGAGTTTGTCCATCGTCTCGGATTGGTTGAGCACTCATTCTGGTTAGCACCAAGGTCACCTGCCCTTGTGCAAAGCGTGCAGTTTTTCTCGCAGTTACAGCACTCTAGTAGTCTGACTTTGAAACTCTGAGCCGGCTGTAACATGTTTTGCTCTTCACTATATTTCATTACAATCAGTTCAGCAAGCCATTCTGAGCTCAGCTGATGAGACCCTGATCGGTTCAGCCAGCCATTCTGAGCTCAGCTGATGAGACCCTGAAAGGTCCAAACAGTTACTTGTCCCAAGATCGAGTACTAGTATTAGTGCTGAAACGATTATATCGATTACTCGTTACTTACTCGATAAGAAATAGATCGAGCGGTTATTTCGATTTTATTGGCTAAACGAGTAGAATGGTACTTACGCTCGGCACGGGATTTCCTCCCTTTTGGGGGTCGCACAAAGCGTGCATGCACCGAAACTTGTGAAAGTGTTGCGACTACGACCCGAATATGTACATGACTGTACACTTGCAACATCGATGTCCGTGTAAAAGTACAAGCGCGATCTGAGAAACATCGACGCGATCACCGTAGCCGGCTTTTCAGCTGACTACTTTCCTTACATACTGCATGCAGGAGTGGCAGCCTCAGTATGTGTCTACACTAGCTGCAGGGGCTGGAGTTCCCTCCACGTGCGAGTAGTCTTGAGCTAAAGACAGTAAAGTGGTCTTCAGTTTCGTGTTTTCCGTTCTGTCGACGGTTCCCGAACCAGTTTTCTCCACGACGAGCTAGGCCTGGCGTCTGGGCCTATTTTGAGCATAGACAGGAAAAGCAACTAGTTATTTGTTGGCGTGCCTCAAGTCAGCTCATCTGTCGGAATCCGCCGACCTGCACCCCTGGCCGGCTTCTCTGACTTCATCGTCGGAGTCAGCGAAGTCACAGGCGAAGGGCACCATCAGGTCTTAGGTTGCAACCAGTGCGTCGCCTCCGTCTTGTCTGTATTTGTCTGGTCAAGCCAAACAGCTGACGGACTTGTTGCGGGATCATCGGATATATGTGCCCGCTTTCCGTCGTTGGCAATGTTGGACTCGTAGTTTTTTTGAAATTCACAGAATGTACATTGTACTGATGTAGTTACAATAATAATCGTTTAGCCGATAAGCCGATCGTTATGGTATCAGCTTAGCCACTAAGGAAAAAACGTAATCGTTTCAGCACTAACTAGTATCCAATTGTTTTTGTTTATATCCAGAGAACTTTTTACTGGAGTTTCATAGTAATAATGGTAGCGCTGACTGTCAAAGCCATATCCAGGAAAGGGAAATTCTTATTATAGTTGAATGTCACTTATCCGGTCGCCATTTATCCGAGCACGTCGGTTATCCGACAAGCCCGGGAGTGGTAATTTTATGACTCTCAACAGTAAAATTCTAAAAAAAGTTTTTTGTGTGTGTGTGTATATTATACGGTGTAATATGCATTTACTTGAAGTAGATGTGGTCAAGTATGCTAACATGTATGTGTACATGGAGCAATTCATGAATAGCATGAATATATTTGGGTATTGTGTACATAAATCAGTGAAATCCAGCCATATATGTACATAAAAAATGATATCAGTTATCCAACATATCCAGTTATCCAACATGCCTGATTCCCGAAGTGGTCGGATAAGTGACATTCGACTGTACTTCCATCGGAGCAAGATGTAGAAATCATCACAACTTACTTCTGTCGCTGATTTCCGCAAAGCATAATGCCGCTGTTCTCTGGAGATCAACGCGCTCTGAATAGGAAACATACAGCAACGATCTCATCTGTTCCTCGGTCGGCTGTCCAATATCCACAGCTAAAGATGGACAACAGAGAAAAGAATAAGGCGTTAGATAACATTCCAAAGAATACAGCATTATCACTTTCGACATAATTATTTCCTCAGAGAATTTGATTATTATGATATCTGTTATCCGGACCTCGAAGTTACAGGGCGTCGGTGTATTCGGCACTTTTCGGTGGGCCTTAGTTGAAGTTCTACTCTTTGCCCATGTTTTGTAGAAGTAGTCACGTCATATGCCAGATCTCTGGCCCTTCCTCATAGACGTGTATGTGGTTCAGAGTTACGGATATTCCACAGTCATGGACCGCGCCCGGGCCTAGTCCCGGACCACATGGATAAGAGAGATTATATGAGTGTATGACTTGGTCGGTTCCAATACAGCTCCTGCGATTCCAGTAAATTCAACATGCATGCGGGAAAAAGACTTGATGCCCGGACAACTCATTCGTTGTCTCATTCACAGTGAAGGCTGCATGCCACATGCTCCCTAGACAGTCATTTGAAGTAGACTTGTTTAGCTGGCACTTGTAGCAGCAGATCTATTCAGGCGTTGTCATCCTACAATTGGTTCCAGTAGCAACCCACTTTACATCGTGGCATGGTAAATTATCATAGCTTTAGCCATAAAATTGAATTTTTCCGAACCGGTGTGTCATTAGAAATCGCTAATTGTTGCCATCGGCAATGGGTGGACCCACATGGTGTGTTCTACTTCCCGCATCGTCGACTTACAAGTTCTGAAGAACTGAAGCAGGTCATTGATGGCTTGTCTCTCGTCGTCCGGAAGGAGAGGATGGTATATTCCATCGTCCTTTTGGCTTTTTTTTCTCCAGCCGCAGCACAACAATCGTCCCAAGCGGGGCATTCTAATGTTAGTCGACAACCATTCAACTAGGAAATTCTCTTTACCACACTACTTGCTGAGATAAGCGAAACAGCTGGCGACCTACCGTTCGTTCCCTTCGGTGATTATTTATGAAGTGCAGTGATTCTGTACTGTGAACGTGTTACATGATTGTAGTGATACAGTCAGTGCAATGGTGATTTGACGACGAAAAATCCGCTGTGTTTTATCGGACATGATGCGATGGTGCATGCGCTTGCGGCTTCTTTCTACAAAAAAAAGCCGGCTGGCGCCGGCCGGGGACGTGAAAGCCTTTCCGACTCCCTGCCATGCCCTGCATGGACCTGGTTCTAGCTGTGCTGATGCATTTTTTATGCAGATAATAAGCCGTAGCTGGATATCGCTATGCTTCATGCCAGTCAATGGCGCTCATCTACCCATCGAAGTCTAGACGTCTGATCTACCGTACCGCCCCACCGGCCCACGCGTTCTGAGTGCTAAACTCGGAGTCGTACTTCGTAGATCTACGCGCATGCAGCCTCACTCATATCAGGCCCTAGCCTAGCCCAGGAACTAGCATGCCATGATTTAAAGGGGAAGTATACCCTAAAATCAAATTTTCACCAGTTGTAGTCTTCGGGGTGCTGAGTCGAATGGTCTTGGTCCGAGGAAGCTGAGACGCTCCCTTCCTACTTGAATCCCAATCGAACTCGCGCACTTCCACCGAAACTGGGTGACTGCGCCCTACGAGATGGGGATTTGTATGCAAAATGTCACTAAAAGCACCATTTCGTTCTTATAAAAGCACGGATGACCGCGATTGGCCCATATGTTGTAGTCTTTTGGACGCTGAGTCGACTGGTTTTGGTCCGAAAAGGCTGCGATGCAGCGTTCCTCCTTTATTCCCAATCGAACATGGTTGAACAAGCGGTCACGTGTTCCTGCGTACACCAGTCACCTGGTCACCGTGCCTGCAGGGTACAACTAATTACTTACTAGCCTGTTTGACCTTTTTTGGGTGCAGTCCTGTCACTCGAGTTGAACTCGAGTTGAACCTTGGTGTGAAAGTTGTCGCCTGCTGGCGTGGTGACCAGGTGATTTGGGCACCCAGGAGCACGTGACCGCTTCTTCAACCATGTTCGATTGGGAATAAAGGAGGAACGCTGCATCGCAGCCTTTGCGGACCAAAACCAGTCGACTCAGCGTCCAAAGGACTACAACATATGGGCCAATCGCGGTCATCCGTGCTTTTATAAGAACGAAATGGCGCTTTTAGTGACATTTTGCATACAAATCCCCATCTAGTAGGGCGCAGTCACCCAGTTTCGGTGGAAGTGCGCGAGTTCGATTGGGATTCAAGTAGGAAGGGAGCGTCGCAGCTTCCTCGGACCAAGACCATTCGACTCAGCACCCCGAAGACTACAACTGGTGAAAATTTGATTTTAGGGTATACTTCCCCTTTAAAGCCCGATTCATACTTCATTTTTTGCGACGCGAAAGCGCGATGCGAAAGTGCGAAATGTCTTGCGTTGGCGCATGGCGACGCTCTCTTCTTAGTAAACATGCAAACAAGGAGCGCGAAAATTTGTAGCTTGTTGCTAGTGGTGACCGGTCGACTCGAGAGATTCATATCCAGGCTGAATCAGGGCTCAGAAAACACTGCATTCTTTTCGTGGACAGACTAGAGCAGCGCTAGCGTGCAGAGTCTGCAGACTGATGCAGTGATGAGCTCACCCAGCTCTGTCGGTTCAATCATAGCGTGGCGACATCGGAGTTTGACAGCATCTAACTTTTGACATTCTTCACAATCATAATTTCACAAGTAATAGTTTAGTTCAGCGCGATCGGAAAATGTTCACATAATCTCGGTATCTAGACGACTGACTGCCTTGTGAATGGCTGGAGGTCAAGAAGGAACTACTCACGTTGCTCAACATAAGTCAATCGACACCAGGTTGCGCTAATAGGAACCGGTACGTGCAGTGTCAACAAAGATAAATTCCGGTCACTATGTGGCAAGTACTGTAGTGCAAGATATAAATGCTTCTTGTTTGTAGATAAGGGTGGCGTGTTCCCAGCGGTGTGAGGAATAGACCGGCTTGGCAAGGACTTCTACTAGTACTAGTATGGTATTAGATAAACCTTGTTTTTGTTCACACGTGTTACTAGTAGTATAATCAAGAGTATGACCGTACTCTTGGTGTCATAAAAAGATGCACACTCTACTTCAAAGAAGTACTATCACACGACCCATTCTGTGCTGTGCAAACAGAAGTGTATTTCAAAGTACACTAGCAATTATTATGAGTTTATGTGCACTCTAGTATTAGCAGCAGCAGCAACAACATGACAGGTGCAGTCCGGAATTAGATTCAATGACCAGTGCATCTATGTATGTATACAATGGAGTGAGAAACTCTGTTCCCGTGATGTTTCGTCAATGGGTTTACAATACCAGGGAGAGACCGATTTTTAAATTTTGTTTCTCATTTTGCAGAACATAACACAAACTTTCAATCATAGCACAATTGACTGCTAACTGCAGCACTAAGCGTATGACTTTGTTTCCGTTATTTTTTGCACTTACTGTTTCTCTTTCAGTCATGTGAATGTATAATAACAAAATATAATGTAGCATGCTAGCAGTGCAATGCCTGCATTAGCTGGGTCATACATGTATATGCACGTGGCACAAAGGTTACACAGATTATAAATCAGCACAATTATGTGGTCACATAATCACTCCATCCTCTCAAGTCACACATTTCAACCATAGAGGACACAGACAAATGTAGTGTTACTGTATCCTGTGTTGTCACTCTCATCAATTGACTCCTTTTTTCACCATTTTGTGTATATCTCTTGACTGCATAATACACAGTTGTTCCACTTTCCAGAGTAGGTCACTGATAACTTCCGGAGGAACACATCTCTGTGAAAAATGGAAGTGTCTGTTAGATATGGATTGGTTTTGTTCCGGTGTACTTTTTTTGTCTCTTGCCCCACCTTTGGCGTGAAACAATGGACTGCCTACATCTGAATAGTTCACTTTCGTGTGTTTGCATTTCAGTGATGATTGTCGACGATGCCGTCCAAGGTGAACTTCTTCGTTATAGGTTCCACCGGCGCCGAGGACAATTTCGACCCACAATCACTTGAGGTGAGTGAGCCAGGAAACTGAAGCAGTTGAGTTCCATGAATTAACTCTCGAGTGTGCAGTCCATGCAATACTGTAGCAAAGCCGATCTTAGCGGTCAATTCGGTGTTCAATCATCAACTATCTATAGCCGGGCGTAATTCCTAACACTGCTGTATGGTGGATGATGGCCACATCACTGCAGTGAGCTGTTGTCCTTCCTGGGAGTGAATGTTGCGTGCACAATTCAAATACTCTCATGTACAGTGCTGCGCACTGAAATTTGCCCAGTTCACAAGCAATGACGCATTATGATGTGAAGTGGGGATTATATGAGGACCAGAGAGTGGAGATATAGCACTAACAGTGTGTGCCAACCCCAAACCGGGTTCTCTCTTTCCCGAGATGTCATTTTCAAAACGCAGGTTTACAGAAAACAAAACTCAGCGGCCCATACGTGATCCATCAACTCAAACGCGGGAACTCGAGCTTCTTCTCCATTTTTTCGGCGCATTAAAGATCTTGTTCAGTTGGGATGGTACAAGGTTGGGACTGTTTTATCTCCACTCTCTGCTCCTCATACTATCCCCACTCTACATGGCAATGCATCATTGCTTGTGAAATGGGCAATTGCATATTAGTGTTTTGAGCTTTGATATAACAGCATATACTTCACAGCTCAGGACAACCGGCCTTCATGGCAACAGTTATGTAATGCAGATGGCTAATATCAGCGTCAGTGATATAATTATGATGCCGCAAACCAGAACACCTTTGCATGAATATGACAGTCTCTTCCCATGGTACCTGTCGTCGCAGGGAGGATGCCCCGCACTGATTCTAGGCTGCTGAAATGCAGGTTGGTGGGGAGAATTTCTCGTGCTGCTGATGAAGGCAGTCCCTGGATGCTGGCGAGCCATCGCACTGTATTATGCCGCTTGGTATTCCAGCTCCGGCAAGTTTAGTTGTCAATGTACGATGGACCTTATCGGTTGGGGAGTTCCAATGGCATTGCTGTCGAACTGACCTGGAAGCCTAGGAACTCCACCATCTGTACAGGCTGCGGTTCTGGCTTGCTAAAGGTCATCTGGAAACTCAGGACCAGCAGCAGATGTATGAGATTGATTGCATGCTGCAACGCCTCTTGAAACGATCCAGCCATGATCAGTATATCGTCCAGTTACATGACCAGACTTACACCCTGTTGGTGGAGTCAGATGATGGACTGCTGTCGAATTTGAAGACATCTGCCTTTGGGAGTGGCTTCCACAACTGGATTGGTTCCTGGCTGCAATCTAGGCAAAACCCTTGCACATATTGAATTCCCTCTTGATCTCCAGTCATCTCATGCCAGAGGCTTCGCTGATCATCAATTCGGGCACTCGGATGTGTGTCCCTGGACTTCCAAACTGGTCACCCTCCAGTCCGAGCCCCACACGGTTATCTGGGTGCATTAACACTGCAGTTCTGGTGGCAGGGCCTTCCAGCTCACCTCTGCCATGAAATGTCTTACGCAGTGTTGGGCTTCGGTGGGCTGTGCTTGTTGCCAGGCTGTTGATGTGGCCAGGGCTGCCACTGTGGCTTCTGTGAATAATAGCGATGGTGAGGGACATTGGTTGGAGAAGGTCACCCGTCCATGTGGGCTCCGCTCCCTCAAAAAAATGGCTCACGAGAAGCTTCTAAAGGCTTGCGGCGTTTGATTTTGCTGTCCCTCGATCTTTCCCCGCAACATTGACAAGGCTTGGCGGCATCTTAGTACGTCCACCCAAGCCTTGTTTGTTCCTGCCTGCTTCTTTATCTGCTTGCTAAGAGCAGGCCTAATAGAGACTCTCCAGGGTTGGCAAAATTTGCTATGGCTAGGCTAGAGAGCTTGGAATGGATCTTCGTTAAATAGATGGAACACCATTTTATAGTCTGTGCCTGGTTAGCATCTTCCATACAGGAGACGCAGTGCTGCCGCAGCAGCCTCCCCAATCTGCTGAACCTCTTCGGAGAGGTCAGGTCTTTGGGTGTGCTCGAGGATGTAACACGAACGACATACATCATTCAACAATTTCACCTGTCAGGTACTGGGCCCTATTTGGCCAAGCCTTCGAGCGAGGCAGCTTCCTGTCAGCGCCATATACTATGCGGGCAACTTGCGCGTCCAAGTCTGAAATGCTGCTGGAGTGTCCAGGCCAGGTCAGCGATGGGAAATGGCCTGTCGGGATTTGCGTTGAAGTTTAGATCTAAGGCATGACTCGAGAAACTTAGCAGTTTCCAACAAAACATGACGGGTAAAACCCTTCTCCTTCTCATGTCCGTCATCCACTGGTCAGGGTTGGGGCCCGAACCAGTAAAATCAACGTCAGAAACCTGACTATGTTTTGTACCAGAATCCGAATCCTCAGTCTGTGGGGCCACACTAGATAGTGCAGTCCCAGGTTGCAGGTGGCTAAATTGCTGCAGACCTTCTGGACCTCCACTCGTGCCAGAGTGGAGCAGTCGTAGCCTAGGTGACTCTCTCGAGGTTGACCGAGCCGCAAATGGCTGCAGTGTGGGACTATTTATCAGGTTGTCAACGAACCTACCATGTGTATGCTTAAAAAACAGCTCCAGAATCCTGAGCTGGTTGACTACTGCATGCAGTAAGCCTCGCGAAAGAGGAGTCAGCTAATTGGGGGGGGGGGGGGGCACCGGGATTGCGAGTGAATCGGTTTCTGGGGTATCATCCACAATCCACACGCCTACCTCGTGCTCTTGCCGGCAGTTGGAGTCCAAATTTCCTACGGGTTGTGGCCTTCCAGGGATGTAAAACGTCCATCCAGCAGGCGCAGAGCGTGGTCCAGAGCCTTATGAGCTAGCGAAAAGCAAACATCCTGTGGTCCCTATCTAATGCATGCTGAAACCTCAGACAACAGAAAATTTCAAGTACACATTTTCTCGAACAAAGAAGAAGCTAGAGTTCCCACATTTGAGTTGATAGATCACGTGTGGGGCATTTTTCGTTTTTGCTGAAAATTTATATGCTCAACTTTCAGTAAAACTGCGCTTTGAAAATGCTTTCTCAAGCAAAACCGGTTCGGGGTTGGTATACACTGTTATATCAAAGCTCGAAGCTCCGATATGCCATCTGATCACGTGAGACATCTAAAGTCCATTCATATAAAGATGGGCCCTGGCTCTGCTGAGCTCCGGTTTTTTGTCGATTTTATCGTACATGGTGCAGTGCCGCAAAATTTGAATCTTGAAAAGGGGTCCGAAAAAGGCACCTCCACTGGGGTTTGAAACGCACAATGTACTGTTGCAAGTAGAGTGAAACGGCCTGGATTGTCACAATTCAGTGCTTTTGGACCAAACCCTGGCCAAAATCCTATTCTTAGCAATTAGCTTTTTGGAGAAATACACTTCAGAAACATAATTAGAAGAGCATTCCATAGGGGATTGTCCAAAAAATACTTTAAAAAAACTCGAAGTGACTCGAAGTGACCAAAAGCTAGAAGTCCATATTTTATGAATGGACTGTAGCTATGTGTGTTCTGCAGTATCAGACGTGTGAGCACCGGACTGGCTGTGCTGGTAGTTAGTTCCATCATGGTAATGGGATCAGATTTCATTGAGCACGGCTCAACTAGATGCCATGTTAGCACACACAATGCAACTCGTGAAATATTCGTGTTTTCGCTAAAGTCTTGCTCGTAACGTCTATGCACTCTTATGCAGAGTCCGAGTCCGCTATCGAAGGGATGGAAGACTCCTCGTTTCTGTCCATACCCGCAGCAGCTTACAGTGCAGCTGAGCCTAAGAGCAGCGCGGATACGGAAGATACAAATTCTGAGCCACCAAAACATGATACGTAAGTACATGCCTAAGGGTATGACATTGGCTGATTGGGCGATAACTTACTATCAATACATGCATATGGCTATGACATTGGCTGATTGGGCGATAACTTACTATCAAGCAGGACTTTGCCAAGCCGGCCACAACCAGGCATGGAACACAGGGATTAGATGCGTAGTCTTTAAAAAACCGCCCAATGCTTGTCCAGTTAGTCCAAGCAACAGTTCCCAGTTCTATTTATTTAGCTGCTGTATGCTTTGCAAGGTATGAAACGTAAGGATTAATAAGTGGCTGTCTTCGGAATTTCCCAGCATTGTATTGGCTCAGTATGTGAGAATAATCCAGTATACCACTGGCCACCACTGTAAAAGGTAGTGAGACAGGGGTGAAAGGTTAAAAGGTAGTGAGACAGGGGTGAAAGGTTAAAAGGTAGTGAGACAGGGGTGAAAGGTTCGAAACTCTTCATCTATGTTAAACACTGCCAACTTGGGCCAAAGACACTGTTGGAAATGAGAAAACCTGTTTTATGGTCAAAGAAGCACCAACCACCAACAACAACTTTCACTTGAGTGTCATCTTCATTTAAAAAATGAAACTCCTACCTCCATTACACATTAAAAAATGGCTAGATGAGCTTCATATTCTGATGTGGTCGATGCAGCTACCCGGATTGAAGTTGCTGTCGCTGCACCTCAGCCTGCTTCACGGCTGAATGCGGATGGCGGTGCATGGAAGAAACTGGGGTAAGGTTCCAAGGACTGATTTGCCAGTACTGCGCTTAGTATTACACGTGCACTATTGGTTTAGTGTCCTTTTCGGTGTGTCGTAAAATGCTACAGTGCTTCCCTCTTGCGTGAGCAGATATGCGTGAAAACAAACATGCACCTTATTTTTTCTGTGTATGTGTGTGTGTGTTTCTGCTGTTTCTATAGATTCGTATCTTTCTCAAGCAATTCGCAAACAGGGTATAAGGTATGGAAGTTGATACAATAAATTTGATCAGACATTGAAAGCCCACTGTAGGACTGGTGACACAAACTTCTTCACTGACCCTGTACATCGCCTGTTGTGTAATGCCCACACTGTCTTCTGCAAATCTTCTCCTTCAGCAACGAGAGTTGAAATCGATTCTGCTCGATGTGGTGGTCGGTTACGTTCGCTTGAAAGTTCACCAGAATCACATCAATCATTTGAACCTCTTCAACCAGGTAAGCATATGCACAATGTGATGTGATGTATTTTTCACAGTTCTGTGAGAACCGAGTAAGCTTAGATGTACTCATAACGTGACTCTAAGATCCATGTGCATGGCTGTCTTTAGCCCGAAATGAATGCCATCGTCTGCAATTACATGTTCTTTGATTAAGAACTTCTTATTGTGAGAATTGTGTCACAGTAAAATATCAGTGTACCGTACCTGCGAAGGACGGTTACCGTAAGCATTTGTACTTGATAGCCAAGACGCTCTACTGTGAGAATCGAGGTCAAATGACTGGAAATGGATGAACAGGGTTCTCAAACACATTCTCTATATCACAGTGCCAATAGACAAGTCTGTGTATCCAGGGTACTCTGTACTGATTTTTTACTTTACTTTATGCTGGCATGTCACTGTATGTGGGACAGCCTGATTTAATTTTTTTGCTAATGTTTCTGATCTGTTTTGTCCTAGGTTGGTATTGTAGCATTCAACATCCTTGGTGACGATGTTAGTCATGCGATTCCACCTTCCCAGTCACCCACAACTGACCTATCCCATGGTCTATCTTCCACGTATGAACCGTCCCACCAATATGGAGGGTACAGTAATGGTCGCTCATCTGTAAGTCGATAGGCAAGCTATACATGGTGTGTGTTTATTGGTGCTCTTGTGGGGGCAACCGTGATAAGCTGTGATCATGGTAATATTGGTCTACCTTTTTTCTATTCTTTTTTCAGTTTTTCACCATAGAAACCAAATGAACCATTGTTTTAAGTAAATAGAAAGGACCAAGTAGTTATAATTATATGACTAACAGTCCACCAAGGTAACGAGATACTATACAGTAAGATAGTGCGACAACAAGGCGCAAAACTGACAAGGATATAGAGACATTCAACGACCTGACACCTAGCTCCAACACATCTACGAAGCGCAAACCAACAACCTTCCAACTTGAAGGCTTACTTCGAAGTAGATGCGGAAAGTTCCAGTGAGGGGAAGGGATGCGCCACGGAGATGTGCACGAGCTATGCCTCTCGGTAACAAAGAATGTCGAACGTTACAGGATGATGATGACGAGACTAGTAAGAACATTGGACAAACCGGTCTAACTACAACTCGACAACGCAAGGCAACTGTCAGTCATAACTCGTAACTTAGTGGTCCTTTCTCTTTACTATTGGCTCAACATCCGAGTTATATTGAACCATTTTTCCATGAATTTTATACTGCAATTCTGTACTAGTACTATTGTTGTAGTTGTAAGTCTAACATTACACTCTTCATCACTGCATCAGCTCAACCGCCACCACTGTGTATATTGCTTTGTACTACTGTGAGTTCCAAGGACACGGTCGGAGTGTGAGGTATCTGAAAGTGTTGCTGCCTGGGGCTAATCTCCTGCTCATTGTGTGTTTCCATGAGCCGAATAGTCCTGTTCTTATTGATCTATTCTTGATGTTGCCACTCTATGCTACGTTTGGTGTACTTCACTACAGCTTGATCCGGAGCAAACGAATGCGGCTGTACAAGATGTCATCAATTTCTATCTGCCTCAGAGTGTTTCTGGTTTGCATTCGACGACTAACCCTCAGCTCTGGGGCAGTATTAACCAGTAAGAATAGATTTATGTAGAAAGTCATTGCAGAGATTTAAATCCAAAGCCTTAGAACTCTCGACCACGCTACATACTACACGTTGCAGGAATATTTCTCGAAACTGTGTCAGAGCCTTACCAATACATTCAATATACTTAGAATATGGGTTGTCAATGCTTCAGAGAAGAAGGGATCATGACGATGCGTACCCGGAACAATATAGTTCAGTATTAGTATGAGTACGGATATTCGTAATCCACGTATCCACTTCGTTTGTACCCCGCAGTTCCTTTGCCAACCAGTGAAACATTGCTGGAAACATATTTGCAGGGAACACTTGGCATACAGTATTTTCAGCAATCCAGTTCCCTTCCCTTTCCGAGTATCTTTGTGAAAAGCAAATGGTCTGTGCTATTGAGCTAGGTCTGACTGTACAGTGTAATGTACTGAATGAAAGAGCTATAGACAAGCTAGGCCATTGTGTGATGTGTTTATGCGGGGATTGGATTATTGATTTGTTACTGAAGTCTTGGAGAATGTTGTACTGTCCCTTTCTTACCACGCAGGCCCACGGCACCAACATCCATCACGGACGACCTGGCTTTTGGTGTTTATCAGGTATGCGAATATACAGATATGGTACTTTGTTTTCCAACATTTCTGTTTCGTTCATTGTGGAATCATCAGCGAAGCCAGCACTGAAGTGAGGATGAAACTGGTAGCTGTGCCATTTTTGCATACTATGATACGGTTCTCTGTAGTTCATGTGCATGAATTGAGATAAGGATGAGAGCTTGCCATATCATGTGCTCACACTTGCTTATCTGCTTTTTGACAATTTTTAGGATCCCAAAATTGCAGAACTCATCAAGAAGTTGGAGGAAAAGAAGGAAAAAGCTGTCACGGGTGAGTTTATCTGCCAGAGAGTATGAGTAGATGTGTGTCGGGGGGGGGGGGGGGGGTATGCATATCGGCCCACACCCGCATGGTCTGCAAGACTACGTTTCTCAACGAATGCAGTGAATGCGCTCTTGTCCAGAGGCAGCCTGTATTCGAAAACCGTGCTACGCTGGTCCAATGGGTGGCAGGTGAAACTAAGGGCCATCTGCAATTTCAATGGATGCAGAGTATTCACACAATAATATCTTTCCGGCTATTTTGGTGCAGCGGAACTTTATCAGCATGCAAAGCTTATCAAGCAAGCTATCGAGGAACTTCAACAGGTAAGACACATACTGGAGTAGTTTAATGAAATGACGATAAATCCCAAATTGGTCACACACAAACAGGACAAGTAGGTTTGCGTGGAATACAGGAGTGAGGCAACAACGTCGGCAACTGACACCGCCGCAGCAGCAGCAGAACCACCACCACTACTACCAATAACAGCAGCAGCAACAGCAACAACAACACCAACACCATCAACATCATCATCTTCATCATCCCTGAAGAATGAACAAAAGGGTTTGATGGCCCCTTACATAACGTGCATGTTACCAAGAAGCATCGGCGAAAACACCAAGTGTCGCTGAAGACACTAAGTAAGGAAATTGGAATGCGAAAGAAAGAAAGAAAGGTTGAATATTGACCCTAAATGGAGGGTGAAGTCGAAAGCACTTTTCTGATACTGTTGTTATAACTGCTGCTGCTGCCCTTGTTCTTGTTCTTGTGGATGACTAAGCTGTAAACCATGTGGTCTGTTGTATGGTTTACTTGATTGATCACTGTTTCTCGTGTACATGTGCATTGTACATCTTGACTCTCGCAGTTTGGAGAGCGAATGGGTCGATTGGAAGCTGAGAAAATCAAGGCAGTTGAGAGTGAAGACTATGATACAGCCATGATGAAAAAGGTCGGTAGTAATTCACTTTGAAGTACATGTATTATGTGTTATTACTACGCCAAGCATAGAGGTTATAGTCCGTGAGCTAACCCCTGGAAAATTGTCTTTTCTCCCACTGCGAGCGCACAACTTTTGCTCCCATATTTAGGAAGGGGCAATCACGTAGGATATATAAATAAATTATTCCCGTAGCTATGTGAAAGACGTTACTTGAGTGACGTCTGGTGATAGCCAGGGTCCACACAGCTTTAATTCGGTAATTATTTGTTGTGTCGACGGGCATGCCTGGCACTATCCTGTACATGTCCCATACTGTACCATAAAAGAAAGTTGGCCACCTTATTCAAGTAGGGCTTTCAACTGCAAGATCGGAACGTGAAGCAACTTGGAAGCGAACCGTGAATTTCTTGCTTTTGTTTTTTGCAACCATAATATTATTCTGGGAAAGCATTTCAAATGATGATCACGTAACTTCTATATATGTACTGTACCTGTGTTCTCACTACGCATAATACTTGGTGAAAAATGGCTCACACGGTGTGCACGTCTCCATATGTGATTCTTGTCAATATTCTTGTCAATATGATGTCATGCATGGTCTGGTCTTAATATGCCCAGGTTGAGAAAGAGGAAGTATCTGTCCAGGCTATGGAGTGCCTGCAGGCTCACCGCATTGTCACCAACAATCCACTAACACAACAGCAGAGAGTAGCAGAGGAGTCACAGAATGTGAGTAATGCAGCTAGGTACCACCCCCTGTTTTGACTGTCTTTACCCAGTTCATACGCTCCCAAGCCATCCGCCATGTCAGTACAAGGAACCATCACACGTCATAAGCTACCTTGTATTCTGTTGCTTGACACTGTACATGTGTTGTCAAAGCCTATCAGGCGCATGCACTACTTCCTGATGTCCAAGACTACCCTTATCAGTTCGTTTTGTACCGTTGAGCCTATGTTTAGCGATGACCGGTCCCTTATAATAGTGTGGTCGCTGTGCACAGGGTTTGTTGCGCAGGTATCTTGCTTATTGTAATAGGTGTATGTATGCTACGACCTGAATACTCACTATTCGTATTTCCCGCTCGTTCCCCTTGGCAATGAGCCACTCACATAGAAGAGCGCATGCTCCAGTTCTGTTCTGTTCTGTCCTAGTCAAGTCTTGAGTGGTCGTTGTCTTGTTCTCCTTCTGTCTACATTCTTGTTGAATACTTCTATAAATTATCCAATCATATAAAACCCCTGTGTTCCGGTGTGAGGGGCATCATTAGCCGAAAAGCTACTGCCGGTTTATGATTATTTTTCTCTGTTAGATATCCTCACCCCAACAGGATGCTCTGCCATTGCCATCTCAGGAAGTTGATGGTAAGTACAGTCAGTATCGCCTATGGCGTTGGTCTTTGATTTTGAGCATTATATCACTATAAGCGATATATGACTATGACCGATACTGCAGGCAATGTATGCGAGTGGGGTATCAAAAGACTCAGCGCACCGTACACATACACACTGCATAGTTGGTTGCAGCTTATGTCCTGTGTACTCCTACTTTGAAAAATGCACCCTATCATGCCTATGCAGCCAAGGCTCCTGACACACAACGTCAGCATGTCCTCACAATGGAGGTATTTTGGACAACTAATACTACAGGTAGAACTCACGAAACAACACTAATCAAACATTTCACAAAGAAGCAACTTCCTGTTCGCCTCTGACATGACACCACTTGATTCCACATCAATTACTTAAGCCGATGCAAACAAAATGCCAAACATAATGTAGTAGAGGTCTTTTGAAAATTGAATTTGATCACTATAGGCGATATATTACAGGGATGAATTTATTCTGTATCGCATCGCAGTTTGCCATGCAAAATCGATCTACTGCTACACAAAAGTCACCCGGTGACTCGCAGAAAACTGCGATACATACAGACTATCCATGCCTAGCCTGCACTGTCAAGTAACATGCATACAGTGCAGTGTCACGATGTGGTGCAGGCACTCTCAATCTGCATGCACATGTATCATTCAGTCCGGTTTGTTTGAAAAGAGGCTTTCAGGCATCACTCTCACGAAGGACAATGTGGTAAACGCCCAACCTTCAAAGAAAATGCTAATCAAAATCAAAGACTGCTATATTATTGTGCATTTGCATAGCAGAAACTGATATGGAAAAATATGACAATAAATTCATCCCTGTATTACTATAGACGATTATTACTATACGCGGTAACTGTGTATACTTTGGTATGGCAAATGAAAATGAATTTGAGAAGTTGATCACTATAGCCGCTATATTACTACAGCCGCCAACCTTTTAGGCGATATGTACTGTACCGGCCTCCGTGAATGTGTTCTGTTTCAAGAATCTTAAGTATCCTGGACTGGACCTTGCTGCCGAAGTCAGTGCACTCTTGCGTGTGTGCAGGGGGGGGGGGGTGAAAACAAGTTAAAGGGGAACTGTCACCAAAAAATTTCTTTGTCTTATCTTGTAGTTCTTTGGCTCCTGATCACGATGGTGTTATCCGTTTTTCTCTGCGATGGCTGGAAGTGGGTGAAAACTTGAAAAGAAGGTGCCCAAAATTGTCCCGAAGTACCGAGTGACGTCACGCCGGACTTGACCTCCACGCGTAGATTCATCGTCAAAAACGAAGTCCAGCCCGTGTGCTGCATGCTGGTCCATCGAGCCAACTGTTCGATGTACGGTGCCCGCTTGCCTTCTGAACTCGGACACTCGATGTGTAGACTCTACGTTGTACACAATGAGAACGCCAAAAAGGGACAAAATATACAAAAGTCGACAGCAGTTTGTCGCACTGGTACTTCCTCCACGAAGCTCCAGCTCTTTGTTCTATTTGTGATCACGAAGGAGTCGAAGGATGTTTGTTTGCTGTTAGTGTGACACACATACCTCGTACTTGAAAATTATGTCGTTGTATCGAAGGTGGCGGTGTTGTCCACCCGGCTCTGAAATGAAAGACGTCAGAGTTTGTCATCTGCATCTTCAGCAACATCGCCAGATGAATCGCCTTCACGTACCTACATCGCTTTCCTTTCTTTGGGGCTCGGGTTGGTGGTGTTATCGCCGGCCGGAGGAGTACTGCTTTCTGCATACGCACTCATCATCGTGTTGTTCCTCACACGAAAAGTTCAAGACAACAACGTACTTCCGTGCTCACAAAATAAAACTTACATCCTCGCGGAAGAAGTCAAAAAGGTGAAAGCTCAACTGCTTTTTATTTTGATTTGGCTGTGTAGCTGCACATGGGTCTCTGCCTCTTTGGCATTCTCCTTCGGTACGACGTACCCATCTGTGTTACAGTTCAAAAGGCACACGTGCACCGTACATTAGAACAGCTAGCTCGATCGACCAGCACACGGGCTGGACTTCGTTTTTGACGACGAATGTACGCGTGTAGGTCAAGTCCGGCGTGACGTCACTCGGTACTTCGGGACAATTTTGGGCACCTACTTTTCACGTTTTCACCCACTTCCAGCCATCGCAGAGAAAAACGGATAACACCATCGTGATCAGGAGCCAAAGAACTACAAGATAAGACAAAGAAATGTTTTGGTGACAGTTCCCCTTTAATAGACGTTATGTCGGTGCTTCTATCCAAGCCTGGTATCGAATCCATTTACTATAAAAGCATCCCGGATTTCCAATCAATGAGTGCTCAATGCTGCATGCTTTGGCAGACTTGCCTGCAGGATATGAAGCGCATGAACCGTTTCGAATGAAGTCGATCAGACTAGCCACACCACCGGATCTGCCTCACTTTGCTCCTGCTGGTGGCGTGCAAGGCTCTCTACCCACTCTCTATGAGCCTCGGTACGGCGATGCTGCTGCTGCTGCTCCACTATCCAGACCAGCGCCGGAAGAGTCCACTCTAAGTCGGGGAAGTCACGAGGGTGACCGGCGTGGCAGTGTTCCTGGCAGATCCAGCATGGCAATGATGGCCTCCGCGTCGCCACCACTTTCACACTGCCAGCCAGTGAGCGAGTCACCGCCTCGTCAGCGTGTGTCTAAACAGGAGACACCTCCACGAAAGCAGGTATGAGTGATACAGTAAGGCAAGTGAGCAATGCATAGCACAATGATGTGATATCCCAGACTCCCAGTCATGCAGGGTGAACATACGAGTAATGCTATACTATCGACTCCACATATAGACCACATTCTTCACAATTTCTGTCTTTTTGCAGGTAGTCTCTTAGACTCGCGTTTGATTCTTTGAATCCGTTGCAAATATCATGTTTGATTGGTTGATTGGTTGCTGGACTTTGCTCCCATTCCAGCTACATGCCTATATAAATTGTCGGAGGTGTGCGTGACTGAACCCTTTCAACTCTGGTAAATAAGTAGCCGGGTTTCCATACGGGGTTAGTAGTTAACTTTTCAGTTCAGTCATGAGATTGTATAATTATTGTAGTCATCAGTATCACTTCCAAACTGCCCACCGGATGCATTGGAGTCGTGGTTCCAATAATCGATTACTGTATTTGTGCTCTACCACTGATTCCTAGTCACTGGTGCAACAGCAAAGACAGGCGGCGAGCCATGACGATCAGCCAATACCAACTACACTGCCTCCAATGTAAGTCACATCATTACGACACTCTTCCAGTTACAAGGGTATGAGCCGTATTGTGCGGTCTTTCCCTGGTATGGCCAGTGAGTCGAGGGGATGGGTTGGACTCCTGCTGTACCCATGGGTAAACTTTGCCCTCGTGGAAATGGTGGTATAGCCCAGTGCATCCACTGCCCTGGGTTACAGAATTTAACCTTTTCAGCCTGAATAATATACCGTCAAGTCGCGGATAAAAGCCGTAGGGCTTATAAGCACATAAGCCGCTTTCCGCATCAGGCTTTAATGCAAGCCAGGCTTGTATGCAAACCATGCTTATATGCACCACTGATATTTTTGCCAGGCTTGTATGCACATAGAAGCCAGGCTTCTACGCGCGACACGCGTAGATCTACCACTGACTACCGGTATTGACGGCAGTTTTACTATGCACCGTACATAGCGCATGCACTCTTGACCTACCCGATTCGCGCTTGCATAGAAGTCAGGCTTCTACGCGCGACAGGCTTATATGCATTTGACCCGTTTGATTTTCAGGCTTCTATCCGCGATGTGCTTGTATGCAAACCCGGCTTGTATCCGCGACTTTACGGTAGTCACTAAGTGTAATGTTATTATTGTTGCACTGCTCTTCTGGTGCTGGCTTTCCTCCGCTTTATTACTGGATGTACAAGACCGTTGGAAGCAGTTTTGATTGGTCGAACTGTTGGCCTGAACAACAGGTGGCCTGATCAACCACTCGAGTTCCACCATTCCAGTCAGGGGCAGATCCAGGAGGGGTTCCATGGAACCCCCTAAATTTCCTAAATGTACTGCTGGCAACCATATGCATGCCCATGTACATGTATCAGCTATTCAGCTTTGACTATACTGGAACCCCCCTGTAGAGATCGCTGGATCCGCCGCTGTTCCTGGTGTATGGTTGGAAAAAATGTTCCAGAGAATGCACTTCTCGATTTGAGGTTACGTCATGTTTGACTCACATTTGTGCTGCAGTTCCCAACCGAACACTCTAACGACCAGCAAGGAAAACATGGGTGAGTTGCCCGCGGGAGGGGGGAAGAATGACCAGTCTCTTCAAGCACTGAGCGCAAAGGTTGCCGTGCAGTACAGCACACCAATCAACGTCTTCTCACAGGAGATTGTAAGTAACTGATTCTGATTCTAAGCCATTCAAATCTTGTGTTGTGCCATAGGAAATCACATATTGTGTGAACAGCCTGGATGAAGCGTGTATTATGATGTATTTTTTATGAAGCAAATCTGGAACAATGATATGGTTTGTGTGTTCGAATTGTTGCTTGTGAGTGTACTGATATTACAAGACCACAGTTACCATGAAGATGTGCATGTGTTTATAGCCAGTAAACCACTCCACCGCCTGCTCACCAGGGCAGTATTGCCGATTACCGCTAGGTAGCCAATCAGCTGGCTCCATTCCATGGCAACGGTTAAGCTATATGGGAGAACTGAAGTTACAAATGATATGTGCAGTGTTGTCTGCTGGGAATGGGTTCAGCATGGGTTGGACAAGGTCATTCATACCATGGGTATGTCAGTGTTTCAAATTGATAAAAGTTTCAATCATATGAAAGGGGCTGTGATGATGGAGGTTGGTTGTGCGGCTGTTCAATCCAATACAGGTGCAGATGGTTCTGAGTAAGAACTTTTCCCAGCGATCGGACGGCCTGTGTCGTGCAACACAACTTCTCCTGGACACGAACCATCCACTGTCTGCGGCACATTCCTTGGCCACGATTGAGCGAGCTGTGGTGCAGATCCTTAGCGCTACTATGAAAGACCGGGTGTTTGGAGTAAGCCATCACAGTTTTGTTTCATTTCCATGTGACCATGACCTTTGAATATCTAACTACATGTATATGCCTCCTTGTTCATTCATTAGATTGAAAGGGAATTGATGATTGCTACAACTGCACAAATTTCAACTTCCTGTTCTTAAAAGTACACGACATTAGTACATTACACAACTGCTTGATACCTTACCAATTATGACTTGCGTTGTTGGCTTCACTGTGATCCAATCCGATGGTATGTTTCTTTGTTGCCTAGGTCTTTCAAGACTCCACTTCCTTCTTCATGCATGCCCTAGACACTATCAGGTGAGACCATGCATTCGACATATCATCTTCATCCAGAGTGATAATGCAATTGAGGAATGTTGGGGTTAACATATCTATTGCTGGGGAACAATTGAAATACTATCGGTGTGTTTTTTATTGTGCTCAGCAGCTTTTAAAGGCTTCAGGCAGCAGCTACATGTGTGTGAAGTATAAGTTATTTGCCCTAACAACAACTTTGGCTTAACCATGTACCTCTAAGCCTGGCTTATGACAGCATGTTCCCATGCTCATCACGTTGAAGTACTAGCCGTAACTCAGAAAACCCCACATCAACACCAAAGCAGGTGGTCTCTTTGCTGCAAATTCTGTAATCTTAACCAAATGTTCAGCCAGCAGGAGCCATCATCAAAATACTAGTATGTAACTGTGAGAATAATACTTAAAGTTGTTCATTTCAGAAATGGGCACTCCTCCAGAATTTCTCTATTTCATTCCTGGTAGAATGAGGATCTATACTACCTGTTCAAACTTTCTTGTTCCTTTTTTTCTTGCTCTCCTCAGCTCATCCAAGTCTGATGTAGCTCACCTTGCAGCGAAGGTAGGGAGTTTGCAAGTGCATCACTGTGCGTAACTGATATACTATGAACAGTTGGTGCACTACGAGTACGCACTGCGTGCTATTTGTCACAGGATACATGTATTCAATCATTTCTACGGTCTATGGTATGGTATGGTCAGTGTGTCACTGCTGCTCTATAAACCTCGGGTTGTTCAGGTTCAGCCAATCGAACACTGCACTCAACGGGTTGAACTGATTATCAGACATTATAAAAATTACTGGGACTACTCACCGGGGATGTCGATCTGGGAGGTGTTGTTTCTATCTATGCTTCTGTACAGGGTTTTGCTATGCTTCTACCACGGGTTGGAGATCAGGTCAGCGAATTGCTATGGTCAATTGAGTATCATAACAGGGAGCATAATAATCTTTCAAGATGATGCTTGAGTCATGTTTTAAACAGCACTAACTTAAAATGGCTGAATATTCTGCCACAGCCAAGGCAAAGTTATGATTAGAGCCGTAAACATTCATGCCTTTACCTGTGTGCACATTAGACCATTTGTCATTTTTGAAGAATGATGCAGGCACTCTTGTTCACTTCGCTGAAGAGCGATGAGCTTGCCCTTCGCTTGCTGAGATAGTACTGTGCCCTGATGCGTTTCTCTTGTCTCTTGCCATTTCCTCTGCGGTGTAGGCACCTCGTGTGGCCAGCCACTCTCGGGAAGTGGTTATACAATTGTCAGTCTCGCCGATTGTCAAGGTAACTGAGTACTTCAGAAGCAGTGCCAGCGTTGCACCTCGGAATCATGAGAAATAATAGAAGTAGATTTGGAGAGTGGCCTTGGTCCAAAGTGGCTGTGAGGAAATCATTTGGGAGATGCCCTCAGGTTGTTCAGTGATTAATCCGCATCTAGAGGCAGTGGAGTACTGGTGTCTCCCTGAGAACCACTGATGTGGTACCTTTTCGAAATGAATTATTTGATTTTACCGGCTCTTTTGACTAAATCGTCTTTGCACTTGTTTGTTTTCACAACCATTGAAATGCAGCCGCTGAATATCATCTGCCCAGCAGCAATGGAGCCACTGAGTCAGAGCAATGTAAGTAGCTCAATGGAGTGACAGAAAGTACTGTATGCATAGCCAATGATCATGACTATGGCAACTATTTTGTAATGGATATCCTACCCATACCTTACCCCATGGCACTCTGTCCGGGTTGATGCGTGTGCATTGTTAGTTTGTCTGCTAACCCAGTGTGGAACCGGCGTGGCTGACGAAGTGCCTGTGAGTGTTCCTTTACAATTTATAGAATCAGACTCAAAGATTCATTATTGTAAGGAAAATATTTCTCTCTTGTCTCGATGGAGAAAACTCAAAGAACAAAGCAGTGAAACATGCGGCCAGCAAATCAAGGTACGAGCGTTGCCATGGCGGATCGCCAGCAATGTAGCCAGTGTACGGCAAAAAGAGGTAGTGCGGGAAAACAAGAAGGTACAAGAAGACTGTAAACTCAGGTAAATGCGAGAGAGGAGTTGGTGATAATCAAGAATGGAGAAAGGAAGATCAAGAGAGAGAGAGAGAGAGAGAGAGACAGAGAGAGAGAGAGAGAGAGAGAGAGAGAGAGAGAGAGAGAGAGAGAGAGAGAGAGAGAGAGAGAGAGAGAGAGAGAGAGAGAGAGAGAGAGAGAGAGAGAGAGAGAGAGAGAGAGAGAGAGAGAGAGAGAGAGAGAGAGAGAGAGAGAGAGATAGAGAGAGAGAGAGAGAGAGAGAGAAAGCTATGTTGCAACTCCGAGGGAGAGGGAGAGGGACAGGGACAGGGACAGGGACAGGGACAGGGAGAGAAAGAGAGCTAGAGAGGGGGGAGGGGAGGGGGAGGGGGAGGGGGAGGGGGAGGGGGGAGAGGGAGAGGGAGAGGGAGAGAAAGAGAGCTAGAGAACGAGAGAGAGAGAGAGAGAGAGAGAGAGAGAGAGAGAGAGAGAGAGAGAGAGAGAGAGAGAGAGAGAGAGAGAGAGAAAGCTAGAAAACGAGGCTGTCTTGTGATCGTATGCAATATCTCACAGTTCCTAAGCATCTATGAAGTCACAGTCTTTGGGTCTGTGGTTCTATTTGCTGTAGCAATCTATCTGGCAACAGTACAGGGGAAGAATTGACCTACTTGGCGATCTGTTCAATCAAGACAGCCTGAAAACGTAAGAGGATCCTTTCTACTGTACTATCAACGGCCATAAGTCCTTATCATTAATTGCACTATTTCGGATCAACTCACTACTAGTTTGAGGCAATTGGAGGGGAAATGATTCTGTAGAAAAGTATCTGTTCATGCCAATTTTGCACTACAGGCACACCTTTGGAAGATTTCCTTCTGCCTTTGTGGTATTGCTCCATCCTTGCGGTGCTGAGCACTCTAGAAATCTGAGAATTTCCACTGATGGTTGATATTTATATTGTCCCAGTATCCCAAGTTTATTGTATTGTATATTATGAAGAATTCTCTAACGACAAATTAATGCCTATCGAGATGTTGACTACTGTCCCTGCATATGAATATCTGGGTTTTTTTTGTAAATGCAGGCTTCTGGACACTCTCCTGAACTTTGAGCAATGTTTGTCACTCATTATTTTCTACCTGAAAGCATTGCTTTCCTGGTGTCTGCCTTTCCTGATGTGCATGTGTGCAGGTGTGTTTGTCAGTTCAACTTTTTCTGCACGTGTCTGTCAACGTGCCATCATGTGAATGTGTGTGTGTGTGTGCGCGTGCGCGTGCGGGCGCGTGCATGTGTCTACTAACAGGGGACTAACTGTGTCTGGTATGATGAAGTTTATGAATCCCGCTCTGGAACATCGCCGTGGCCCAGTGCGAGATGCTGCCACTAAATTGATCATTGCCCTTTACAAAAAAGTAAGCCTTACGTACATGTAAGAGACAGGGAGAATGAAACTGTACCCTAGGCAGAATGGCGTGTTCATGTTCTGGCCGGTAGGGTATGCCAGTACAGTAGAACTCCCCTGATCCGGAGTCCTCAGGTCCGGACACCTGTCCGATGCCTCTAGAGTCACAAAATCAACTTTTGAGAAACAAAAAAACAGCCCCAAAACGTATACAGAAGAAGAATGGACCAAGGAACTACAAGTTACGCTATAATGTCCACTAACACCACCAGTTACTAAACAATCAGCGCAAGCAGCTGTTAGCCAGTTAGTTGTAGAACGTCATTACCGTCTGCCAGTGTCGTGCAGTGTTATCGCATGTGCTGATTGTTTACTAACTGGTGGTGTTAGTGGACATTATAGCGTAACTTGTAGTTCCTTGGTCCATTTTTCTTTTGTATAAATTAATCCTTGGCTCTCCATCCGGCCCCAAAACTGTAGATTAATGTAAGAAGTGTTTACTTGCATACGAAACGAATGTAACGTTATACTCTGAGGTACGGGCAATTCCTCGTTACGGGTAATTCCTCGTTACGGGTAATTCCTCGTTACGGGTAATTCCTTGTTATGGGTAATTCCTTGTAATGGGCAGTGCCCGGTCTCAACCTGCCCAGATATAAGGGAGGGAGAGAGGAGGGGGGGGGGGGGGGTTCTACTCCGGCATAGTCTGGCCAGTGTGCAGGGCTGCAAGGCATAGGACATGTTCATTTCAGGTGTGCAATGTTGTTTCTTGTTTTCCATTCCTGTGCAGTTTGGCCAAGAAGTTAGGAAGCATTTGCCTCCGGACAATGCAGCAAACCGAAAGAAACCATTCTTCAAGAACATTTTCACAGAGTTCGATCGAATCGACGGGAAGCCAAGCAAAGACGATTTGAAGGTTTGTTTGAAATACGGAGAGGTCAATGAACAGCATTGGCTGTGGCAATTGGCTACGTGGTAAAAATGCAAGTTTCATAGCATGAATGAGTCGGGGAAATGTAGGGTGGGTTCTGGCTGGGGTTGATCTAGATGAGTCTTCCCAGCCAACAGGGGCATGATCCCACCGGCCTGATTCGTACCACAGCATCGTACACATAGGCTTTGTATTATTATTACTATCTATAAAGGGACTTAGTGGAGCCAGTTGTCAACCCCTCCCTTGTCCATATTTCACCAACATTCAAGTGCTGATAACAACACCTTACCATGCCGCGAGCAGCCTTTCCATGCTCTGAGTGCTGAGTCAGTGATTGGTATCATTAGGGGTGCTTAACACTATAGTCACGGTGACCATCCTGTTGCTCTCTATCCCTGCATGATACAGGCCAAGGCTGATGCTGAGGAACAAGCAAAGTTGGACCAGGTAAGTTGCCAAACATTCTAATCATGAATATATCCAGAATAAACACTTTCTCTCTCCTCCTATTGTTTGAACCAGCTCTACCTCTCGGTATTGAGCACTCTACTGGACAGCCTGGAACCTCTCTGTTTTAATATTATCCAGAATAAATGTTATGGAGATACCTATCCTAGATATCATATCTGAATTGTAGCGATTATGGTGATGATGGGGGTGGGGGGTCAGTTAAAAACGCTAGCAAAAGGTTTCAGTGGGTGTTGTCTTTAATTAAGACTTTTTCTTCTCCATTTCATTGTGTTTTCTATAACATGCAGGTGCGACAGCTGCAGGAACAGATGAAGATGCTGCAAGCTTTGCAGCGTGGAGAAATCGTACGTTCTGGGAGCTGGACACTATAAATTGTCACATGGGAATGTCTGTAGGTCTGATGTGTATAGTGCCCCGTACCACCTACATACCTACATATATGCTTCCTGTTGGGTGAAGTTCAAGCTTACGCTGGTTGAAAACTAACATCGTAATTAGCTGACACTGTATTGTAATCCAAAGAAGGTTGTCCAGTACTGAGAAAGGCTTGTTTATACACTAGTAGGGTCTTTACCAATACTTACCCTGTGTGAACTTAAGTTATTATGAAAGATCCACTGCAGAATCCGGCCACTTGCAATGTACTAGTACGTGTAGTTTGTTTATTGGTTCAGAAAGTGACAGTTCTGAATGCAGGGTTTACGGTGCCGCCCTCAGTACATGTTGAAGTGCATAAGGTGGCTTCGGCTGGTCTATGACCACCTCTTCTTTGTGTCATGTGTATGTTCTCTGCAGCCTGTGGAAGCAGAAGAATCTCCCCCGAGGCCAAGGTATGCTAAAGAATTTTCCTCACTACTCAATAAAGTATTGCTGCATAGCTTGGTAGAAATGAATTGAACGGGAAAGGCTCTAGTTTAAAATAATGTCTTGTCCTTTGCCGGTTTTGACACCCAGAATCCGTTAAAATGTTACGTCACTAACCAACTGAAAACTCGGGTTAACTTGTGGTCTTACAGTGATTGCTCCATTTGTATTGTTGATAGAGGAGAAATGCGCTGTATTGCTGTAATATTTGCATGGTTGCGAGGCCAGTGGCACCGGGCAATTCTGACAATGTACGTCCGTTTCCTCTGCTGTGATCTATTTTGATAGCAACCCGAAAAAGAAACCAAGTCGTCCTGTAGCCGCAAAAGTGGTGAGTCTCAGCAGCCGTCTGGCTTTTTGGAAGTGCTCGTGACCACAGTTTTAAAAATGTCTCTGCAATGTCACTTTTATTTTTTACATCCTATCCTCAATAATGAATGCAGTCTTATGCCTTGTTTTTGTTTTTGTTCACTGACATACTGCAATGTACATGTAGTGATTTCATTTGCTTTGGAGTGACTCGGAGTGCTGTGTGCGTGGATCTTCCGATGCTCACACTTTTAAATTACTTCGTATGCAATTGTTGGTGCTGACAGGAAACACCACCCCCTGGACCGCCGAAACCAAAGCCGTCACAAATACCAAGTAAGCTTTTTAGCATCCAGATCCCTTTCCAAGGTCATACCGAGAGAACAATCATTTACAAGGGACGACATACCCCGTGCATTGTCAATGATAGAACCCTCTTTCTGGTTTGTGTAAGCGTTACCTGCCTTGATGAAAAGTTGTCTGGCTCTAATTCTCCAACTTAGAGCGCTCTTCTCTGATTTTGACATCTTGGGCTGATTGAGGAATGTTTTTTGAATAGACTTCAATGCAGTCGGTTCCTTAAATGGTTCTGAGCTCGGCTGAAGTGATGTAACAAGGTCATATCAGCTAGAAGTCCAGAGATTCAGTGATAGAGAAGATACCGGTAGGAACAATAGTGTATTCGAGTATATAAAAGCACTGCTGTGTATTGTCGTGTACTGAATTCTATGCGCATTATGGTAGTCAAGTCCTTTGGGTGATGTTGTCTCCTTATGTTTTCATCCATATAGAGCGGGGAACTCCCCAGGCTGGCAGTAAGGCATCGAAAGGTGGACCGAATCAGACCAGGCTTCAACGGAACGGTAAGCCTGCCTGATGACCACCATGAATGTCTGCAACCACCGATCTCTCGGTCCTGATCCGAAAATCAGTGCTATTTTCCTCAGCAGCGAGGGGGTAGGGTGGGGGTAGGGGACTCGGAACAGGTCTGAACATCATCTGTTTGTTTGTTTTGTTTCTAACACATGTAGGAGCATGTTTTCAGTCTGTTCTGTGTGTGTCTGTAAGTAACTTAAGTGTGCATGTGTTTGGCGTGTATGTCATCTGTGTGCCACGCTGTTTTTGCAACTGCTGATCCGGCATTGGTGAATCATCTCAGATGCCAAGAAAGACAGGTGAGTGGAGGTTGTTGTCCTGCTGTATAGGCTACTCCTACACTGAAAGCTAGGGGAACAATTCATCCTTGACTATCGGATGCTGCATTCTGCTTTTAGCCAATCTCCTTCTATGCTGCTCGTAGTTGCTTTCTGGAATGTGGGGATGAAGCTGTGGAGTACAAAGAAACTGTGTGCCTATACTTATTCATTGCTTGACCTCAATGGTGTAGGAGCCAATACAGCTAGCGACTCAGACTTTGGCCAGACCACCTTTCACTCGACCAGTCATGTGTTAGTATTGTTGGAGGCAAATAGTGAAATTATTCAAATTAGTAATCAATATTCAGCCTGTGTGAAGAAGATGTTGTAGCAACTTCGGCAATACTTGGCTCCCACGTAGGAAGCAACACACATTTTCCCAACTTAGCCTATGGTATTCACGGCAGTGGCCCATATTGACCAGACTATCTTTCATAGACAGGACTAGTTGTAAATGTGATGTGCATGTGTGCATGTGCCGGTGTGTGTGTGTGTGTGTGTGTGCATGCATGTGTGTGTGTGGGGGGGGGGGGGGGGTACATGTGCATGCATGTGTGTACTCCAGTACTTTCTGGTGGATGGATTAAATGCATTTTCAACCCGGCGGTGTGTGATGATCCATTATTATATGTTTCTGGCTTTGTCAACCATGTCTGTACTTTGGTCAGAATCAGTCGTTGCATATTCTGCGAGGCGAAGCACAATGAGGGTGAAGCAGAACAAGAGAAGCACTACTGTTCGCAATGTCCAATGTTAACATCTTGCCCTGGCTGCACTCAGGTACACACTGTCACCTATTTCTATATTGTCACAGAAAATGTCTAAAACAACAGCAGTTCATTCCCTAAATTTCTAAGACTTCCGTCGCTAAAATGTGTTGGTTGATTGTGGTTCATTGTAGACTTGTGTCGTGATTCTTTATCAGTTGGCTTGTTGTTGTGCCATGTTGATGGCTCCGATTATCATAACTAACTGGGAAGGACTGAAATAGTCCAATTGAAGCTGTACTGTATTTGTCTGGTTCCATACCGCGCACGTGCGTGTGTGTGTGTGTGCCCTACATTCCATACCGCGCACGTGTGCGTGTGTGTGTGTGTGTGCCCTACAGGTTGTTGAGGTATCCAATCTATCGGGCCATCTCCTGTCTGAATGCCCTGATCATGCGTCTTTCAAGAAGTGCCAGCGCTGCAAGCAAGCTGTGGCGGCCGTGGACATGGAGCAGCACACGACCCTCAATGCATGCCCAAGTATGTACAATCAGTTGGCATTGCTCATCATTATACAATATACACGATGCAATCTCTGCAGGAATCACTGGCATGATACTGTACTAGTTGACTACATGTACTTGTACTGTAGTCACATTCTCTTATGTGTTCATAGTAGTCAGCGTGAGAGAATTTCATTCAAGTCCTAGTCGTAGACCGTAATGGCAAAGTTAGTAAACCGTTATGTTGAATCTATGCTCCCCACAGCTGGAAGAGTACACAAAGAACAACATTTTCAGCTGGAATGAAATTTGACACATTCTCCGAAAGAGGAGCATGTTTGAGTACTGCTGTCAGCGTAGGATTGTAAAGGAAGACGGATTTTCTTCACTACATCCAGTATGAGATCTATGTCGATCGGCTAAGGTTCACCAGGTGCAAGCTCAGGAGAGTGAGCAGGACTACAGCCGCTCCGAGTAGCTTTACGATTTCACGGTCAGAAATAGCTCCTGTGAAGCCAAAACATATGCAAAGGCATGCTTATCAGACTGACAGTTTGTCGACTGATACACCTACCACATCTCCGGGGGTATAGTTTGCACTTCAGATGCACTACTTCAGGCTCAAAATCCCTGGCGTGCGTTGTGCACTGGGTATGAACTATGAAGTGTATGGTAGCAAATGCACGTTGAGGTATTCAAGTTCAGATAAAGCAGGGGATATGCATTATACTTCGGTGAATTTCTCCCGGAAAACATAGTATATTCATGAACTGACATGTGATGACCAAACTCACGTTTAGCGCACCGAGCTCACCTGTGAAGAGTTTGCTGACAAAATTAATGAATATGAAAGCTCCATTAAGAGCTATCGCCACCAGTCCCTTTGCCGTGGTGTGTGACTTGTAGCTGCCATAGTGCTGCGACTGGGTGGAAAGAAAGGAGGGGACCTTGCAGTGCGACTAAGTGGCATCATTAACACAGAATGTCTTCGGATGAGACCTTGAAAACACTTGTGGCATCGAAGTCTGGACATCCTCTCACTTCGGCCATATGGGGATACTTCCAAGACACAGGTAGAGAAAGTTCACCCACGTGGTAAACTAGCGAGATGTCGCCAACTTTCTGATGCCAAACTGGTATACAATCTCTTGCTCCACCCTCCCCAGTCGCAGTCCCATCAGTGCAAAAGAAGTTGGTCCTCCAACAGCAATGCCGGCTTACGGCCACTCCCTGAGGTGATCTTTCTTCCCTTGTCCTCAGGGAGAGCGGAACTATTGCTGACTACGGATGTCCGCTTGGGCTCAAGGAAGTCCCAGAGCACTGACCATATTTCTGGTGTGACTCCCGTCAGAAAATGTTACAGCTCACCATATTCTTGCATTTCAGCATGCCTGCAACAGAGTATACCACGCATAGGCATTGATTGGTATTACGGCTTTACGTACGGTACACACTTCAACGAAAGGATAGCTCATGCGCTTGTGCTTTGCATCTGTGGATATCTTGTGTTTTGCATCTGTGGATATCTTGTGCTTTGCGGCATCTGTGGATATCTTTTGCTTTGCATCTGTGGATATCTTCAGTTTAATGTTTCTGGAAACAGGACTGAATAACATGCATTTTTGAAAATGTTTGTAGGAGCAACCTTTAGTTTTCACTCCTTCAAATCATGCCCGGGCACTTCCATCCACGTACCGTAGCAGCTGTGATTTCAGCTTCACGATCTCCAACTTAGCTACTTCCAGCTGCTTCCTGAGCTCTGCAGTGTGCCGATCACAGAGACAGAGTTCCTCCCCCATCACCTCCACCTCAGTCTTGGAGCCAATGCATTGCCAAGATGTCTCTACCTCGAACTCAAGCGCACACTTCTCGTGAGCTCTGCGGCATACTGCAGGCGAAGGGCGATTGGGTGCGGCTTGCCGAAAGCCAAACTTCGAGGGAATGCTTTAGACGGCGATGGACCCGTTTAGTCACTTCACGAGAAAGCAGAGGCAGCGGGTAGAAGCAAGAGTCATGAAAATGCTCACTACAAACAACTGCGTGTTTTGAGATACAGAGAATGTTTCTCCCTCCTCGCTATGGATCGCATGAATCCACTGCTTCTGCAGGCCAGCTTCGCTCGGAAACCTGTGGAAGGACATCAAGTTACTTGTTGACCTCCTGGTCGAACACAAAGGGACACAGCAATGGTCATGGCCAGGCGTTTGGTTTGCGAAACCACTGCAATGTCAACCTGAAAACCAAACCTGTCCAAGCGTAGATGCGATCTGTTTTCTTTCATCTCAGCTCACAGCCACACAGTAAAGCATCTTGATTGCCCACTCTCGCTCACGAAAGGCGGCAGCATGCCCACATGTGTGGAGGCCTGCATACTTTGTACAGTGAACTCGCAGCCGCTATGCCCCCTTTCGAACCCAGAAAATCTTTTCGGGATTAGTCTATTGTGCAAAGAAACCATTGACTTTTCCGCAGTGCCCTGCAAAAATTCAAGGGTGGCATGTGTCTCTTGCTACAGTACATCAACGGTTTTGCAAGGTGAGACACGCACCCAAGAAGCTGCAGCAGGCTAGCTGTGCAGGATGCGTTGAAGTTCCACTCGTACTCGGAGGGCTTGTGGGTGCTGGCCGCGCAGTGTGATTTCGAACGTGAGGATATCGACAGTGCTCACCTCACCATGATGGCAGCCTTACAAGCCCATCCCAAGTCTCACACAATATGGTTAGAGTACTGCCGCATGGAGCTCCTGCATGTGCACAAGTTGAGGAAGCGTTACGTGCACTGAGCAAGAAGTCTAATAGAACACATGTAGATGAGGAGAAGCTACTGGAAGGCGAGCAGTTCTCCTGAAAGGTGGCCGATCAGATATATTTGAAGTACAATGCAGCGGCCAAGCGCATTGAGGATGTGGCAGTGCATGTGAGGTTCTTGCCATTGTCCATGCGCTTAAAAGTACGGTATTATTAGTATTCACTGGTTTGAGGGAAAGACACAAACGGGAACTTAAAAGTCTGAAGATAAAAGTGTTTGTCATTACCAGGATTCAAACCAGGGACCTTCGCTTGAGGCCAGCGATGCTCTAACCACTGAGCTAAGGTCTAGCCGTCATCCCAGCAGAGACCATTCAACATTTTCTTCAGACTTCGATTATTACAGTCCATTCATAAAAAAAGATGGGTCCTGGCTCTAGCGAGGTCCCGTATTTGGCGATTTTCCGTGATTTTCTCGTACACAGTGCAGTGCTGCGAAATTTGAAATTTGGAAAAGGGTCCCAAAACGGTACCTGGACTGGGGTTCGAACTAGAAACTTCGAACCGCACAATGCACTCTTGCAGGTGGGGTCAAATGGCCTGGCTTTTTATGGGTTTTTTCCCAATCCAGTGCTTTTGGGGCAAAACCTGGCCGAAATCCTATTCTTGTTAGGACTTGCTTTTTGGAGAAAAAGACTTCAGAAACATAATTGGAAGAGGATTCCATAGGGGATCTGCAGAACAAATCTAAAAAAACTCCTAAGTTTGACCCATTTATGGCCAAAAGCTAGAAGTCCATCATTCTATGAATGGAGTGTAGTATTGTTGTTGTTTGTGCACCATTAATTTCAACGTTTATGTGGTGTGTCTGCTGCAGAGTTTATGAGTGGTATGACTTGCTGTCCACTTTGCACAGGAGCTATCCATGATAATGACAAGGTGAGTATTCCTGAATCTTTCAGTTCTTCGTATCCCCCCCCCCCCTCAGGACATGTAAAAATTACTGCGTGTACTGCTTTACAATGCATGTTTGGAGGGGGGGGGGGGGGGCTTGCTTGTAACTTTGTTACAGTTGGTACATGATTGTACAATTGCCATTGCTTCCAAACAGACAAAGGCTGACTAAAACTTTCTTCGACACAGGACTTCGAAAAAGCAACCATCACGTTGCACCACACAAGAACAAAGACTGCGCACAAAAGCCAGCCTGTGTGCAAGATACTGCACAGCCTGCACGCCCAGCAAAGCGTGTGACTAGTGCGACGTGCCGTAACTCCTGTAACAAGAGGCCGTCACCACAGTACTTTGCGCATCACGGCTTGATACGCATGATCTGAATGTCCGTAGGTCCACCTCACCACACGGGGCAGCCTGATTTACACCACTGGCACATGTCGCATTGGCTCAGTCTTCCCTTCTATGCTGACAATGACTGTGTCTGTGATTGAACAATCAGCATGGGGACAATAATTAAAAAATGAGAGCTATGAAAAGTATCAAAGTTGCAGACATGGACATTCACATACATGTACTTTAAAAGAAATGATTGATAAAGAAATGATATATAGAAAGGAAAAGGACATAATTATGGATACGAGTTTAGAGTAACTCTCCATCACTGTAACTGGATACTATATACAGTCAGAAAGTGTAATAACTAGGCACAAAACTGACAGAGTACAGAGTACTGAGACATTCGACGTCCTGACACCTAGCTTCAACACATCTTCGCAGCGCTAACTGACAGCCTTCCGACTTGGAAGGTTCAAGGTTATGGTAAGACCAAAGAGGGGAGTACTGTAAGAGTTTGGCTTTCGGCTTGTACAATTCGTTTTCGCAAAGCTTCCCCTTTCTTTACTTATCTTTGATATTTATGACCCACCCAAGTTGGGTGGTGTGCTGCTTTGCTGCTTCGAATTGTAGTTAGACCGCTTTGTCAAATATCGTACCATGGTCTCGTCATCGTCCAGTAACAATCGACATTCTTTGTTCCGTTGGGACTGTGGCTTTTGGTCGTTTTCGTTGCGCTTGCCTTCCCCTCTTTGGTCTTACCATAACCTTGAACCTTCCAAGTTGGAAGGCTGTCGGTTAGCGCTGCGAAGATGTGTTGAAGCTAGGTGTCAGGACGTCGAATGTCTCAGTACTCTGTCAGTTTCAAGTTGTGCCTAGTTATTGCACTTTCTGACTGTATATAGTATCCAGTTACAGTGATGGAGAGTTACTCTAAACTCGTATCCATATGTCCTTTTCCTTTCTACATTTATTTATGGCTCAACATCCGAGTTTCAAAGAAATGATATGCGACAGTAAAATCATGGGAACGAGTTATGAAGCAACCTGTAACAAGATAATAAGCAGTCAGAACGTGCGATAAGTTAGGTAAGATAACATGGCACAAAACTGACAGGCTGCTGAGACATTCAACGACCGGCTAAGACCTAGCTCTAACACATCTCCAGTTTTCGAACCAACAGCCTTCCAACTTGAAAGGTTCAAGGTTGGGTAGGACCAAGGAGGGAAAGGTGAGCGCAGCGGAAATGTGCACAAGCTAAGTCCCACAGGACGATGACGAGACCAGTTAATAACATGACCATGCGGTCTAACTACAATTCGAAGCAGCAAAGCGGCACTGGTCTCGTCATCGTCGTCCTGTAACAGTCACCGTTCTTTGTTGCCGTGGGACTTAGCTTGTGCACATTTCTGCTGCGCTCACCTTTCCCTCTTTGATCCTACCCAACCTTGAACCTTCCAAGTTGGAAGGCTGTTGGTTTGCACACTGGAGATGTGTGGTTAGAGCTACGTCTTAGGTCGTTGAATGTCTCAGTAACTAAGCCTGTCAGTTTTGTGCCCTTTTATCACATTCTGACTGCTTATTATCTTGTTACAGTGGTGGATAGTTGCTCCATAACTTGTTTCCATGTGTTCCTTCTTCTATTTTACATTTTATACTGGCTCATTATCCGAGTTCAATATGCGACAGTAATTGTTATTTTTTGCTTTTGCCTTTTTCGCTTTGTTGTTTCTGCTGCACGTGTGGCACTATGGACAGAGTTGGAGGTATCACCTTATGCAAGTTTGTGCCACTAATCCCAGAAGAGGTACGGTGCAACATCGTAAAGAAGAACACTGCTAAGAGAAGACAATATTTTGCTTTACAACCTAGAATGTGTGACTCTAGTGGTCGTCGGATGACTGCATTATTCACTAGTCGTGGAGGACTAATTAGAAGAACCATTGAGAGCCAATTCAAGTGACACCCTGGTGTTCGGTTTACAGGGATTCGTCTATACTATCACGAAGTCTTCGTTTAGTAGTAGCTGCTTTCATTTTGAGCATTAGTACCAGTAACCGCATCCTCCTGGATACCAGGCGCTCAGTCACGGATGTGCAGGAAGGGTACTATTGTCTGCCTCCTCGCTACATTCAATTGGCCATTGATTCAATTAATCGTATACAGTCAGCCTTGCCAGTAATGACTCTCGATTGGGCATGAGAAAAGTTTGGTCATTCGCAAGGTTAAAGTATGCAGTTCAATGATTACGTGGCCTGAAGATGGCGTTGCTATGTGCCAATTGACGGTTGTTGTTTTATCCTAGGCTGTTATTCACAAAGTGCGAGATATGCCGGAATATTAACTGCACTGCACTGCAATGTGTGTGTGTGTGTGTGTGTGTGTGTGTGTGTGTGTGTGTGTGTGTGTGTGTGTGTGTGTGTGTGTGTGTGTGTGTGTGTGTGAGCCCATAAGTGGGATCATTTTCAAGTCCACCCAGAGTTTTGGGGATTTCAGGGGTGTCGGCCGTTGGGCGGTTCAATAACCAATTGAGTCATCTTTCCAAGATTCCTTTTGAGTCTCTCTCCCCTCTCCCGGGGGGGGGACTCACGTGACCAGTTTTGGCAGTGAGCAACAAGTACAGTACAGTGTGTGTGTGTGTGTGTGTGTGTGTGTGTGTGTGTGTGTGTGTGTGTGTGTGTGTGTGTGTGTGTGTGTGGGTGCGTGCGTGCGTGCGTGCGTGCGTGCGCGCGCGCGCGCGTGCGTGCGTGCGTGTGTGTGTGCATATGTGCCTATGTGTGTGTGCATGCATGTGTGTGTGTGTGTACGTGCATTATCAGTAAGGTTACCTCTGGCTTGGAGATGAAAAGTCACATATACATTACTAAGAGTACGGGTGAGTACCATGCATGTAGCTTTGATGCAGGAACTCAGAATACGTCCATATTTAAAAGAGAGTACTAATGTCCTTCTGGGTTTCTGGTCTTGGTGCAGAGGTGAACCCAGCAGTAAACAAGCGCGTAGCAGCCCTCGCTGGAAGCTCAGTACCACACAGCCGTCCACCAAGCTATGCACCAACAATACCGGGAACGACCGGGGCTCACCTGGCTACCAGCCCCGGCAACCGGTCGACCAGCCGAATACCAACGCTGGCAGCTCGCTCACCTCGTGTACAGCGTTAGCTACAACATATAGAAGTGACATCAAGATTGGCGCCGGCGGGGAGTTCTACAACTCTGGTTGACGCGACCTCACAAACCCTTGATATGATTGAATGCATGTGCATCAGTGAGAACTCTCTGCCTTATATGACTTGAGCATAATGCCGATACATGCACAAACTTGACTCATGACTTTCCTGAGCTTCTTTTCTTTGGATGCCTCCGTGTTTGGGCTGGCTACAAATCAAATTATGATCTTAACTTTGTCACATCTAGATCGGATTTAGCAAACTTTTGATGGACTTTGCTATGATAATAATCATTGTTATAGAGTTGAACAGTTTTATGATGCTTGCTTGTTGCATTTTTATTATGCTTGCTTGTTACAGGAAGCTAAGCCAGAGCTGAATGAAATAGGGAGTTGCAAAACCTTTCCTCCTATGAGTTTATATATCAAGGCTCAATGTTATGAACAGAATTGTGAAAAAATGTCATGAAAGCTGTACTTTGAAGAAGCATGAGCTTGCATGCATGGTACGTATACATGTATATGCTTGACCTACTGCCCTGCAGCAGATACTAAGTACTTCATGCCGGAAATGTTTAGTGAGTGCTGCTGCTGCTGCCTGGCGCCGACATAAGAATCTAGTCGGAGGCAGTTGATGTTGTAGCATAGGTAATGCGGTTCATGAACGCCGGCTCCATGTTGTCACGCGGTAGAGGATTGGTTGCGCCGGGCGGTGGCTTGTGCTGCTTGACAATTCTCTGGAAGTAGGGTGTCCGCAGCAAAGCCAGTGCCACACCATCGGCATCATCTCGATGCCAAATGTTGATGCTATCACTGTCTTCGGCATCCTTGGTGGAGTGTTTAGTTCCAAACGTCGTGTTGTTAATGAGAGCATGGGCAATGTGAGAATCCTTCGTCTCCATGATCCTGTTGTTTAGCTTAGCTTTCTCGTACTTGACGGTGTGGCGGATTAAGCGATCTTCGTGAACTAACAGATTATACTGCTTCAACTCCTCGCGCCCGTCACGGTGTGTCCACTTGTTCATCAGCTGAATGGTCTTGGCTGCATTATCACCCATCCGCATCACCTTGTGATGGTCAAAAGAGCGTGTTTCATAGCCAAGTTTGTCCAAACAGCCAGCAACGAGCTTGAAGTCATCCTTGGGAATTGACTTCCACTTGCTCATCACAATTTCAACAAGCGCGGGCAAGAACGTTTCCGGAATGTCTGTCTCCTTCAGCTTTGTATCAGCCAGTGAATAGAGCAATAACGGGATGTTCTGAGTTGGCAGCTGCTTGAGCAAACGACCGTTCAGGCTTTCCACACATTGAATGAGTAGCTCCTTATTGTGCTTCTTCAAACGTGTCAAGGAGAATAGGATTTTCGGCACATCCAGGACACTCTTTCGATACCGCACTTGCCGTTTCAGCACCTTCTTGACATCGTAAAACAAGACGGTGTGAGTACAATTCGCCCTGACAAATGCTTCCATCAGCTGGGTCAGCTCATCCATGCTGAACTTGTAGACTTTGCCAATCACCGGATCAACAATGCGTTTCAGATATACGCCCTTCTCCACTTGATCCATCAGGTGACAGGACGCAATGCCATACGTAGCGTTCACCACCGAGTGTGGCTCAAAAGAGGACGCCTTTGCCAAGACCAGCGGCATAAGAACTCTCCAGAATCCCTTGTTTGCTGAATTGATAGATGTGCCATACATGTACACAATGTCACACAACGTGCCAGGGTCGGTCTGCAGTGATATGTTGCTCACGACTGTTGTTGCGAGTTTGTTCAGTGCCTGTGGCACTGCCTCACTCGGAAGCTTGCCACATTCCGTCACAAATCCAGCCAGCTGCTCTGACGACAACGTTACAGACTTGTCTACTAGTGTGGCAATGATTTTCTCCACAACATCGAGAAGGGCTATGTCCTTCTGCACTGCACATTGCCAGAGGCGCAGCAGATCATTCTCTGGTTCCACTAGCTCATCATATCGCTCCAGGACGTGCAGGGCAGATAAGCGCACAAACTCGGTGAAGTTCAGTGGCTTCACAGCAGCATTACACAGCTCCACCACATCCTCTGCACTGAACTGATGCAAAATCGACAGGCCATGCTCAGTGAGGTCTTTTGCAACGTCAATATTGTCGTACATAAATCTATCAGACAGCACGATCATGAAATTGGCAAACTGGTTCGGCCTCAGTTCATAACGATACTTGCACGCTTTCTTGATAAGCTCAATCACTTCATGATCATCCTCCTTATTAGCCAACAGGGGCTTTGGTGCATTGCCACGACTTCGGTATGTCTCATCCAATTTCACCAAAGAATGAACGCATTCGGGTGCAGTCAACTCGGCGATGCTAGTATGGGTGCTGCAACTCCGTCTGCAGGCCAAGCCGACGGACAGAACTCGACGGAAAGCAGCCATTCCACCAACAACTACTCACTGTGACAACGGCAATCCTCCGACATGGTGAAGGCAACAACATGAATTGTATTGTGAAAAGCACAATCTGGAAAATATGAAAGAAAGAAAAAAACAAGTCGTTACTTTTTGCATGCAGTAGTGTGGGTTACGTCACGGCATATTTCACAGTAATACGTCAGTATTATGACGTTGGATATGAGATCATCGCGATCAGATCTCGTTCTCGCCTTTCAAACAGCATGCAGCATGTGGTAGATCTACAAACCCTATTCTGTATTCAGCATTGCCGTATTGGCAGTATTGCTTGAATTGCTGCAATAACCTGATACAATTGTACTTTTTCTTTCTGCATTTGGATGCTTTTTGACTTTGGTTCATTATTGGCTGCTGCTCCGGGAGCTTGAAAATGACGTCCTTCTGCGTGTTGTGGGATTTTCGAAATTCGCTATGGAAACTCAGATAGAGCTTTGTGTCTCAAGAAAGAGGCCAGACGCTGAGGTGATTTTGAACCACTGCTCAGACCAGCAGATGTCTCCACCAGAAAGGCAAAGGCCAAGCCTTTGCTCCAGAGCCGTTGAAACTGTGACCAGGGTCCTACACAACAAGTAAGTATATACATTATGTTGACAATTAAACTGCCGATGTTGTACTCCCAAAGCTGATTCATTTGGAGTCTTTTTCCGGAACACCTGAATTCATTGTCAAACATACTTTCTACTGACTCTATCTATCATGTTGCCCTCAGACATTAGGAACAAAACCAGAAACATGTATCCCAGGGTGAACTCAGTGACCATTTTTGCAACAGACAATTCACTAGCATGACACCTTTTTGCAATACTTCGAAGTACGGTGATGCTCAGTGAAATCCAGTCGCGTCACTCAAGTTTGCGCCTTGCACCATTTCGCAGCCTAGTGTTCGCAGGTCTAGGACATATGCCGACCTTCATTATAGTACGAACTTTGAAGTACTTCGAAGTAGCGACTTCGGCGGTATTAGTAAATGAAGTTGGTTACTCCTACATCGAACACACGCTTCCTGCCGAACTTGACACTTGACTGACTTACGACTGCTATCCGGAGCACATGCGGAGCCCATCACACCTTCCACTCGGCAAACCTGCAAGAAAGCACCTCTCCCGCTCAATGCAGTGTTTCTGGGAATCCACCCCTCATCTCAAGCCCAACTGATAAGGGATGAATTGCCCAGTTGCCCAAGCAAGTGTGGCAGCGAAACGAGCAGGAATAACTCAGCTATCCAACGCACCAACATTTAACTTTGAAAAAGGAAAGCAGGAGAAAGGAAATCCAAAACACTGCAGCCAAGTCCATGGTGCCACATACCGTAGTTAGTACCGTATTTCCCCGAATGTTTGTCGCACTCCCATTTTGAGGTCTTCGTCATAATTATAGTTTCTGTATGTTCACTTCAATAGTAAGTCACACTGTTAAAATTGTAAGTCGCACTCCCTTGTTTGATCTTGGGATTTGTTGCAAAAAAGTGCGACTTGTATTATATAAGTTATTCAGGGAAATACGGTATGTTCAAGTATCTGGTCATACCCAGCCTGTAAACCTTGCCGTTGCATGTTCTGCTTTGTGATACTGTTTCTTTGTGAATCCATGCTGCTGTTAATGTGTCTCAGTAATCGTGTACCATATTTTCCCGAGTATTTTTTCGTCACGAAATGCAGACGTCTGCCCTGTATTTCATGGTTCATTTGACCATTCTAGTACCACCCGCATCTACTGTGTTTTGGGTGAATTATGAGTGAAAATACATTTTCAGTCATACTGCATGTCTCTCCATGTATTCCTGTCATCTTCTTAGAGAAACGTGGAAGACGATAGGGATTGGCCAGCTACTATCTCTGTTCATTTGTGGCACGGGCGTCACAAGCCAGCTGTTGCAAACTTACAACTTTGCGGCACCTCTCACCCAGCTATTCACCACATACTTCCTTCTGGGAGCGATCTTTTCAACGTCACTGATGTACCGAAAAGATTCCCAGGAGCTTAAAGAGATATTGCGGCAGCGCGGCTGGAAATATCTAGTGCTGAGTGTCATTGACGTTCAAGCTAACTTTGCCGTGGTGAAAGCCTATCAGTACACAACTCTAACCAGTGTTCAGGTAAAGTGCTCTGCGCCTGTTCTTGCTGATACTGCTGCTGCTGCAGTATGTACTGTGTGCAACTTGTATGCATGTGTGCAAGCCTGGCCATGCTTGAGAAAACCTGTGCTGTGTTCTGAGGTTGTGTGCAGTTGATCTAGCAGTTAGTACTAACGTATTTAGCCAGACAGAGTTGTTACGGGCATTGCAGCAGCACCATGTCAATCTCTTACATAGTAGTGACCCAACTTACAAGACTAACTTCAGTTCAGTGTAGGTGCCTCTTTCCTCCTTTTCACTTCCCTTCATTGAATAACGCGCGCGCGCGTGTGTGTGTGTGTGTGTGTGTGTGTGTGTGTATGCGGCCGTCTATGTCTCTTTCAGCTTCTTGACGGCTTCTCTATACCTTGCGTCATGCTCCTGTCCCGGTTTGTACTGCGTTCCCGGTTCAAGCTGGGTCACTATATAGGTGTGGCAGTCTGTGTTATTGGTATGGCCACGCTGATTGTAACCGACTACTTTCACAACTATCGTGATGAGGGCCAAGACGCCAAGTCTAGTAAGTACTACTGGTAGTAGCAATGTCTTGGGTGAGGGCTGGTCAGCAGTAACTCCCTGGTATCAAACTTCTGCATTGGTAGGGTGAGGGCTGGTCAGCAGTAACTCTCTGGTATCACACTTCTGCATTGGTAGGGTGAGGGCTGGTCAGCAGTAACTCTCTGGTATCACACTTCTGCATTGGTAGGGTGAGGGCTGGTCAGCAGTAACTCTCTGGTATCACACTTCTGCATTGGTAGGGTGAGGGCTGGTCAGCAGTAACTCTCTGGTATCACACTTCTGCATTGGTAGGGTGAGGGCTGGTCAGCAGTAACTCTCTGGTATCACACTTCTGCATTGGTAGGGTGAGGGCTGGTCAGCAGTAACTCCCTGGTATCACACTTCTGCATTGGTAGGGTGAGGGCTGGTCAGCAGTAACTCTCTGGTATCACACTTCTGCATTGGTAGGGTGAGGGCTGGTCAGCAGTAACTCCCTGGTATCACACTTCTGCATTGGTAGGGTGAGGGCTGGTCAGCAGTAACTCCCTGGTATCACACTTCTGCATTGGTAGGGTGAGGGCTGGTCAGCAGTAACTCTCTGGTATCACACTTCTGCATTGGTAGGGTGAGGGCTGGTCAGCAGTAACTCTCTGGTATCACACTTCTGCATTGGTAGGGTGAGGGCTGGTCAGCAGTAACTCTCTGGTATCACACTTCTGCATTGGTAGGGTGAGGGCTGGTCAGCAGTAACTCTCTAGTATCACACTTCTGCATTGGTAGGGTGAGGGCTGGTCAGCAGTAACTCTCTGGTATCACACTTCTGCATTGGTAGGGTGAGGGCTGGTCAGCAGTAACTCCCTGGTATCACACTTCTGCATTGGTAGGGTGAGGGCTGGTCAGCAGTAACTCCCTGGTATCACACTTCTGCATTGGTAGGGTGAGGGCTGGTCAGCAGTAACTCTCTGGTATCACACTTCTGCATTGGTAGGGTGAGGGCTGGTCAGCAGTAACTCCCTGGTATCACACTTCTGCATTGGTAGGGTGAGGGCTGGTCAGCAGTAACTCCCTGGTATCACACTTCTGCATTGGTAGAAATGTCTACTGTAAGACATGTAAATAGAACGAGGAAGTAAATCTAACGTTTTAACGAGTAGCATTTCTTCGTTATAATAACTTCTTTTGAGGCTGTAAGGCCTTACATGTGTTATGTGCGGATATGCCAAGATTGTTAGCATATCTTCTTGTTATCCTTTGGATTTTGGACAATGGTTAAATTTGCGATAATAAGTTAACCTGTTTTACAGTAGTCCCTGTCATAATAACAAGTCCTTATTACATTTGAATGCGTTCAGTACTTCGTCTACTGTTCTTCTCACATTCTGTTGAATGTAGTAAAAGCGTTGCGTCAAGCAATGTCTTGGGTTGGCCTACTGCCACCGACAGTAGGCCTCAAGTGCTTGTTCTAGGATTTCAAACCGACCCGGTACACGTCACGTGTATATGGCGCAACTCTTGCAACTGGGTCAGAGCCGGGTACGTTCAAGTGTGGCTGCTGCATGTAAATCTACATCAGGGAGTCTTAAATATTTTTCTATTCCCTGATGTCCATGACTGAACAGTACGTAGATCTACTGGGCACTCTGTCCCCGAGCGCCTGCACGCAGCCAGTCAGTGTGTTCCCCCATTGAAGTACAAACGAAATACATGTGATTGTACTCATATACTCCCAACCGGGTCACAGGTGACATCGCCTTCTTTTTCAAACAGGTGCTAGTACCCCTCCCCAAGCAGGTCGTTGACCCGGCTGACCTGGCCCTGGAGCAGACACTGGCCTGGTCTATTTTTAGTGGCTACATAGTTATACGTGTGTTTGTTTTGCTCCTATCAAACTGACAGATGTTTCTGATCAGTAAATCTGTGTAATGCAACCACTATGATCAGAGATCACAGGTATAAAAGACCAATCATTTCCGGGATCAAATTCTGCGCCTGTGGTGCTTGTTGAACTCAGGCTTTGCGATACATCAGGGTCCATGCATGTACCTGTATCTCACCTCTCCTTCTCTCTTTCCTCTCTCTTTCTCTCTCTCTCTCTCTCTCTCTCTCTCTCTCTCTCTCTCTCTCTCTCTTTCCCTTGCTCTCTCTTTGTGTGTGTTTCTAACAGAGCACAGTCAGATAATTGGTGACTTGCTGTGTTTGCTGGGAGCATTCCTGTATGCCACCAGCAATGTTTGTGAGGAGTACCTCGTGAAGCGCATCGATGTGTCCGAATTCCTTGGCATGTTGGGATTTCTTGCCAGCTTCGTGTGCGGCATTCAAATGTAAGAACATGCGTGATGGCTAGTGCTCCATTTTGGCATGAGTGTGTGCAAACCCTGATTGTACTTACGGCACCTCAAGCCTTGCATGATCTAAAGGACAAGGTAACTGCCAGTCGCAGCTGCCCCACAAGCTTCCCTGCCTAGTCTAGACTTGTATTTCAGGCGTCGATGCTAAACATATCTCACACCCTGCAAACTGCGTGACCACAACTTAATATTTGCGTGTGGGGTTATACCTGCTCTAATTTTCACCGCCCAACTATTTAGCGCCATGCGTAGATGGTAATGTAGTGAAAGGTTGCCACGCTTTTTTCATCGGGTGTCAGGTGATTGCTTTGGCTCTCAATTTCAAGTCACCAGATTCCTGTTGAACCTCTCTGTGCTTATAGGTGAAAAAGCTTGCCCCATAGCTGGCATACGGACTTTTCCCGATGTTGCCACACCACTGTGTACTGTGCTGTATGTATTTTGCTGGTGATGGTGGAAAGTGTCGTTTGTCACATGTGCTCTGTGTCATCGGCATCTTTCCATCTGAATAGTTGCCACAACTCTCTGTTTACTGTACTCAGTATGTGTATTGTGGTAGTGGGGGAAAGTGCCAGTTTGTCACGTATGCTCTGTGTCAGAAGCTTCTGTTACTTTAAATAGTCACCTACTAGTTTGTACAACCGTCTTCTGCTCACTTTCAGTTGTATTCTCTTCACTTCAACGCAAAATGATCCTTTCCCTACCCATGTGACCTGCCTCTTGTCCCTACCCATGTGACCTGCCTCTTGTCCCTACCCATGTGACCTGCCTCTTGTCCCTACCCATGTGACCTGCCTCTTGTCCCTACCCGTGTGATCTACTTTTCCCGCCACCTGTTATTCTACATAATGATACTGTCTGTATAGATTCTCACCTCACCTAAGAGGACACCTGAGAGGAGGGGTGCATGTGAGGAGACCTAACAAGGTCGAAATAGCTACAGTAGTTGTCTGGAGATCGTGTCGATTCTCACCTCACCTATGTTGGTGAAGTTTGTCAGCGATCTGTGGATTTGTTGCACCAATATCCCCAGCACGTCTTTGTTTAGCGCTGTCCTTGTGTAGAGCTGTGCACTGCTGGGAAGGTGTGGTGCTGTTGCCAGTCGCACATATAAGTACTCAGCTTGCTGCTTGGTGATGTTTATATTATTAAAACTCAAATCTCTTGGGGGATTTGTGTCACTGCTGCTGCTGCTGTTGGTTGGTTGAAGTCCAACTTCGGCTCTTTGGACATGTCAGTAACTTCTCTTGCTATTGGACTGTGATAGTTGCTTGTGCTCTCGGTGCGCCTGTCTTGGCTATTACTGAGCCGCGACGTATGCGTGGCTGGGGTGCATGGCTGGGGTGCATGGCTGTGTTGCATGGCTGGGGTGCATGGCTGTGTATCAACTACATGTGTGAATGTGGATAGCTAGCGTTGACGCACCTCTTGGCCAGTCTTGCATCTTAGGTGCATTTGTTTTCCTGTTGTCTTTCCCAGATTAGCACTGGAGCGCTCTGAGCTATCTGATGTAGACTGGGCGACGCATGGAACCAGTGTTGGTTAGTCTTTGTTGTGTTGCTAAATGCATCTGTCTATGGATCACGTGTGCGCGCCAGCTGGGCGTATCGTACTTGTATCTTCCATGCCTGTTTTCTTTTCTGTCAGATTCTCTCTCTCTCTCTCTCTCTCTCTCTCTCTCTCTCTCTCTCTCTCTCTCTCTCTCTCTCTCTCTCCCTCTCCCCTCCCTCTCTCTTCACCCCACCTAACAAATAGTTTTCACGGCCCTATTCTTCTCAATGTGTATGCATGTACTTTGCACATGTTAGTTTGTTCAGGATTTTGGAAGGATGTACATTGGATTGTGTATCGTATTATGCCTCGTGACCGTGCAGTAATTAAAACTGTTACACCTTTATCTATGACTTTATGGGTGGTGCAGTATTGTCCCGATTATCCAGGCTTTACCTGTAGTGAACCACATTGTGTTGTCTGGTATTGTGTGTGAGCACACGTGTGTGTGTGACTGTGTGCGTGCGTGTGTGCGTGTGTGTACGTGCATGTGTGTGTGCGTGTGTGTCTGTTCATTCAGGTCTGCTTGCAATTGGGTTTGCCATATTCCAGCTGTTGGTCTACTTGGTAATGCCGTTCGCAGTTCGTCAAAGTAGTGCAGTCACCATCAATTTGTCCTTGCTCACGGCTGACCTCTACAGTTTACTGTTTGGTCTTTTCCTCTTCTCCTACAAGGTGAGCATGTAGTGCTTATACTAGGGGTCAACCGAGTGGAGAGCATGCCTGACCACTATGTGGAATATATGTAGAGTTGTGTCCCGTTATGGCAGCAGTGCTCCAAGAGTGTGCAGCTGCAGTCCATGGGGCCTGCGACGGCAGAATTTCATGTCACGTTGCCCGCCCTATACTATGCCTGAGGCCTGGTACATGCTACCCCATGCAGGGTTGCACGCACCCTGCTTTGGGTACAATTCTCTGGCGGTGACTTTGCACTGTCTGCCAGCAGTGTTGTTATTTTTGGAATAGTGCACCCAGTCCAGTCCGAAAGGTCATACGCGGATCGACTCGCCTTCTGTACTTCACCTCTAAGCGTGGAACGCAAGACCCGCAAAGTATGATTTTTCTGTGGGGAACGATTTTGCCATTGATCAAGTTTTTATTGGAGTGCTCAGGCATACTACGATTGCTCAGAGGTCCCGAGCACGCTTGTTGAGGTTCTCTATTTTTGACGAGCCGGTCCTAAAGCCCCCTACATTGTATCTAACGACGTAGGAGCTGACAATGGAAGAGGATTTCCGTGGAAATAATGACGATGGTGGTGTGACTGCTGCAGGAAAAATGCTGGCTGTTTATGACAGTTTTTATAATAGCTATAAAGAGAACAAATTCTCTTTATAGCTATTATAAAATTGTTGTCTCCGCGTCGATTATTTACATGTTTATGACAGTATGACTAGATGTACAATGTAGCTCTCTTGTATGGTACTTAACCCCTGCTAAAAATGTGTTGTTTAGGAAGACTGGTGCATTGTGCAAGTCATAAAGAAGAAATGATACACGACTTACATTTTTCAAAACCTAGCTTTGTGTTATGTGTAATTTGTGTCAAAATTGTAGTATTTCAACATGACAATATCACTGGCTGTACTTCTCTTGTATGGTACTTAACCCCGGCTATAAATGTGTTATTTAGGCAGACTGGACCATTGTGCAAGTCATAAAGAAGAAATGGGGCAGATCCATGACTTACATTTTTCAAAAACCAACTTTGTGTTATGTGCAATTTGGGTCAATTTTTAGTATTCGGATTAGCCTAGGATACGACTGAACAGTTCTAAACAGTTACCGCAACACTACACGCCATCTCATAGCTGCTGCTGTTGCCATCACTGCTATCAAGTAGTTCGGACATGGCAGGAGCTAAAAAACTGCTGGTAATCTTTCAAAGAATACTGGCGAGTGATGGGCTGTAAACGAAATGTGCTGCCTCAAAAATTTCAAAAACTAGAAACCCATGCGGCACGCTTGGAGGTGAAGTACAGAAGGCGAGTCGATCCGCGTATGACCTTTCGAACTGGACTGGATGGACTATTCCAAAAATAACAACGTGTGCAACCCCTGTGACACAGACCATACACAGTAGCAGCCTATGTACACCCGGAGCTTCAGAACAAGCCTGTAACGTGCAGTCATTTGTGTGCATGTACAGCTGGACGTTCACATGTACGAAATAGGAAGGCAGGGATATAAGCCGAACTGGTTCAGGACGCAAGCTTTCTACTTTGTTTCGGATTTTCACCTATGCCGCATCAAATACTACAAATTGTGCACATGAAAGACAAATTGGCATGTGTACCGCGCAGCATGCGTAACAGCTTGGTTTGTGCCTTGACTTCTACACGAATAAACCCCACATTACGGTACATGAAGAAGAGAAACCCCGACCACCACCATCACCTCCTGGAATGATTACTTTTATAGCCTATGCTGGCTGTGAACTTCACACCTGAAGTGATTGGTCAACCAGCCTCGGCCAATCAGAGTTCAGCAAATGTTTATCCTCTTGGCTTGCTGATGGCTGTTGTTTCTGCATTTCTGCATGAGGAAGGAGAAAGAAGCCGGAAAATTCTACCGGAAAAGAAAATCTAAAATTCGCAACCAGGAAGGAGGAAACAGGAAATGAAAATGTCACTCAAATGATCTGTATAATACTGGATAATATCCATTGTTAACTGTTAACACACAATTCAATTTGCTCCCTAATTTGAAGCTCGCGTTTTTTTCTGCCGACTTGAATTGACACTTGACTGACTCAGGACTACCATCCAGAGCACACGAGAAGTCCGTCGAACCTTCCACTCAGCAAACCTGCAAGAAACACTACTCCCTGCTCAATGCCGGGTTTCGGGGAATTTACCCTTCATCAGTTGAGCTTAGAGGCTAATGAGATTTGTACTCCGAGAGCACTGCATTATGTAGTGCTCTTCAAGCCAAGTCGGCAGAAAAGCACCAGATCATTTCGTATGTTCTGAAAGTAAAAGACTTTGCTTGGCTGGTTGGCAGATTACCCTATACTAGGCTATAGCATGCTTGTCGGTGTACCTTTATAGCAGATGCTCTGTAGTGTAACTGGTAGACATTGGCAAATCTCCTCTTGCATCTTGTTTGTTGTCTTCAGTTCTCCGGCCTGTACTTCTTGGCCTTCATTCTGATCTTGGCTGGACTGATTACCTACACATCGTTTCCGATTTCCACCGCCGTGTCGCACACTGTGGATGGCCCGTCAAGCCCAGCTACATCATCATCAGCTGTGGCGACCGCCAGTGATAGATCGTGTGCTGACGAGAATGATGAGCACTCGCGGGATGACCATGACCCAGCTGGTGGCAATGCTAGCAATCAAACCAGTAGACAAGCTGCTGAGCTGACTGCTACTGCTCCTGCCGTGAATGCTGCTGTTATTTCTAGTGAGAGTGATGTAGATAACGACGGAGCCGGTGACTTGCAGCCACTTATTCAGCATCCTCCTTGCTCGTGACAAAGGGAGTACGCCGCTTGGCTATACACTCAAAGCTGCTTCCACCACATCAAGTCCAACTTGGTAGACATCATCAGAAAATGATGTTAGAATGGGACATTCCCAGGAATTTAAACCGGAGAAACTGAAACAGGAAAAGCAGATGAAGTACACACATGTGAACAACAGTTACAACACATTCCAATATTCCATGTGAGCAGTATGGCACTGGACATCAGCCGTACTGTTCTGCATATTATTTTATGTTGTCTTTGATCAGGGCCGGGGACTGTATGCGATTCACGAAAAATATTGAAACAGCAGCTATTGTGCAAGTCCACATGATTGTGTGGTCTTAATCATCAGGCCTATATTTATTGTTTATTCACCCTGCTGGCAGGCTTCTGATCTATGATCTATGATCCTTTTTTAATACTTCAGAAATAAATATTCTTCACTAGTTTGAGGGAAAGACACAAACGGGAAAAGTCTGAACAAAAAATTGACTGTCACCACCAGGACTCCAACCAGGGACCCTCGCTTGTAGCTAGTGATGCTCTAACCACTGAGCTATGGTGTAGTCGTCATCCCAGCAGAGACTCTTCAACATTTTCTTCAGACTTCGTAAAATACATATTCTGTGAGTTTTCAATGTCGAACCCTTGAACTGGTATTTAAGACCCTTTTCTACCAGTAAAATTTCGTAAGGGGCCGTCCAAGGTTACCAATAATATTTTCAAAACGAAAAGTTTTCGTTTGGGGGTGGGTGGGTTTGATGGAGTTTCGTTTTGAAAATAATTATTGAATGCAGATGGAGAATGCCCAATTACGTCTGGGTGTCGAAAATTGACATCAATGTTTTATTGGAATTCGTTTTACCTGCAGAAAAGGTGGGTGGGTGGGTGGGGGCTGAAAAAACAACTTTTCGCTTTGTAAAAACAATCGGTAACCCCAGACGGCCCCTAAGGACCTGGTCAGACTGCAGCAAAATCGAAATAATCCTAGGATTATAATCCGAATCTCCATAGTAACTTGCCGCCAGAGCGGCAAAAGCGAGAGTTGACGCTCCAAAAAAAAAGCAAGAACGGACCACGCTTTTCCGCTCCAAACAGGATTTGACGCTGATACGCCATTGACGCTGATAATCACTGATTTTTTTCATCTCGATATCGAGTTGCTAATTGGCCACGGACAACAACAAAACTCTTAAGGATGGTTGCAAGGATTGCACTGAAGGTGTTGGCGATCCCCAAGGTGAAAGAATTTGACGTCGTTCGTGGAGATTACCACTTGACGCTCGAAATGAAGTTTGAATTTTCATTCTCCCCACATGTGTAGTGTGGTCGCGATTCAAATTCTGGACGCTTTTCTGTTTTCGTCAGGCAACCAAAATTTGCCGCAGTCTGACCAAATGGCGATAAAGAATTTTCTTTCCTCAATGACCGAATATTGTGCGGCACTGGAGATCGACGATATTTTGCGTGTAATGTTGCCGTACTGTGGCGTGATCTGAGCAGCCGAGTATCTCCATTCGAAGTTGCATGTGCAAGAAAAAGTGTGCGTGGTGAAAAAAGCCACACATGTATACTACTGTAGCGGACATGGAAATCCAGTCGATTGACCGGTGCCGGCGCCCTCAGCACGTACAGAACGCTGCGTGCAGTGCACAAAGTCATGTTGATCCGATGTGACCAGCGCGCTGCAGCGCATATGCATGTTCCGCTATCTACGGCGGGCTGCATGGCCAGCGCCCTACGGCCGTTAGACATGCGACCGGATTTCCATGCCCACGACAGTATTTACTCGCTAGTATTTAGTGAACAGGGTCCTTAGCTGCACTTTACTAAAACGGAGAAAAGCGCATTTGAAAGTTGAACATTTGTCGTTACAGTCCATTTCAAAACTATAGACGCGTACCTAGGCAAAAACCGTTATGCCAGCATCTATACCACATAAAATCTGTGATCACTTTGTGCATATATTTTTCCAAATTGGGCGTCTGTTATCCAATCCTTTAGAAACTATATGAGAGTAATTGTGGAGCGATCCTGAGCAATATTCCGAAAACTATTCTCAAAAAGTTCCAGCAAAATTTGAAATATTTCAAAAACCCTACGCGTCTATAGTTTTGAAATGCACTGTAGAACCGTGCACAAAACCACCATCACAGCATCGTTCAACGGGTTTCTATTTGGGTTTTCTTTACATGAAAGCTGACGGGGCTAGCTACCCGTGACCGGGATATGATAACCTCAAAGGTTGACCCTAACCACCCTTTTCACGTGCTCTGCACCAAGAGTGTTTATAACCATGATCATTCACACATGCGACCCTCAAATACCACACTGCGTGGTCGGCAAGACGACAAACCACGGTGAGTTGCCCAAGCAGCCATTTGAGTCCTTATACCATGATGTATTCCCACACCTCACATACGGTGACATTATCAAGCAGGAGGTCTACCTGTGTCAATACAAACGATGGTATCTGGATGGGTTTTTCACAGAAAACAGCAATTCCACTTGGATGTTAGTCCTAGCCGATTCTTCACCTTCTCACAAATAAGTGACAATTGGAAGGCAGTAGAAGAGTGAGCCGGCACTTCTCGATCCAAATTTCATCATACACGAACATTTACCACTGCATTCATGTGCGATTTGAAAAATAAAATGCGCGCAGAACTCGCAGTTACTCACCTCACTCAGCCCCGTACATTATTACTAAAGACCTACAGTAGAGTCGCGCGCCCAAGAACGTTGTTTCCAAGGGGTTAGCCTGGGACGTTCTTATTTTTCAGTAAGCTGGCTGCGTTCTTATAGCACGTTCTTAGAAACAATCCGTACTGGATGATATGTATCCCACAAATTGCCAGAAAACTAACACTGCCGTTCTTAGCTTTAGGCTGTGGCGTTCTTAGAATTTCAGACTGGACGTTCTTGGGCTCCACGTTCTTCAGCGCGCGACTCTACTGTACACAAACGTCTGATCAAACAACAATACACACCGCAAATTCTACCCATCTAACTCACACCTCCAGTTACATAAACCAGGATTACACCTGATGTCTGGCGCTGATCTTGCAAGTACATGCATAGAATCACCGCTTGACCTTATTCGCGCTTACAAATTCTCTGATTCCACTAGCGCCTTACCACACTATATCAAGAACATTCATTGAGTTTTTGTAATCATTGCTGTCTGATGATCGCCACAGGCGTGAAACTCTGAGTTACAGCCAACCCAAGCTCCGTATCCCATTCTATTCTTTTTGTATGAAGCTCTGCACCCCGGTGCATTGAGCACTCTTTCGAGGACCACACCCAACTTTCCGTGTGTGACCGGCTCCCTACCCAGGTTGAGCACTCTGTGTGATCATCGAACAAGAATGGACCGTCCGAAGCTGTTCCACCTAGATTACTCATTGAAGAACATACCTCTACCAAGCGAGCAACAATACAAACTGAAGCTGGTGGAGATGACAGAGAAACTAATCAAGAGAATGCGCTGGAAGGCCTTGTTCTTCTTCAAGGGTGACCAACCTCAACATCAGGATGAAAACAGTAACCACGGATTCAAGACGAGGACATGCCCACCCCAAGTGGAGGACATGAAAAAGTTCGAGGAAGAGCTGTGGTCCCTGGTCGAGAACGTTAGATTCCGCAGGGTGAGCGACGAGCTCCAGCGCAAGCTCCAAGATGACCGGACCAGGATCAAATCATCACAGAGCATACTCGCCCCCTGCAGATAAGACGAGGAACATCTACAAAGTCAGCCCTGACCTGTACACCAAACTACTCGAAGCACTACAAGCATGCCCCTGACAACGCCCAAGACGACATCAACGAAGAAGCAAAAGGCATCGCAGAGAGCCTCAACATGCTAACCGAGCCGAGATCATGGCGAAGAAAAACGCGTACATAATCCTAAAAGATCACAAAACCAACTTCTCACAAAGTTTATCATGCAGACTCATCAATCCCTCAAAAAGTGAGATCGGGAAAGTCAGCCAGAATATCCTGGCGAGGATCACCCAAGAAGTAAGAATACCGCTGCAGTCGTTACCTGGTTCCGAGAAATTGACAATAAAGCGGCATGCACGTTTGTCTGTTTCGACATAGTGGAATATTATCCAACAATCTCCCAAGACCTGCTGGAAGAATCCATTGCATTCGCAGCACAGCATACCGACGTCAGCCAGCAAGATCGAGATATCATCATGCATGCGCGAAAGTCGCTCCTGTTTAGTAGTGATGCAGCATGGATGAAAAAGGACGGAAGAGGCCTATTTGACGTCACAATGGGTTGTTTTGACGGAGCAGAGATATGCGAGCTAGTGGGAACTTATGCACTTTTTTTAACTGTCAAAGCTAGCCGATAAGTTCGACAGTGATAACATCGGACTCTACCGCGACGACGGGTTGGCGGTCTTGAGAGATGCGACAGGCAGTGCAGCAGACAGAGCAAGAAAGGAGATATGCCGTATCTTTAAAGATCTTGGGCTGAAAATTACCATCGATGCCGGCATGAAGGTCGTAAACTACCTCGATGTAACACTCAATCTAGCCGATGGGACTTACCGCCCCTACCGAAAACCAAATGACACGCCGATGTACGTCCACACACTATCCAACCACCCGCCAACCATCATCCAACAAATACCCAAGTCTATCAGCAGACGATTGACAGATATTTCGTCCAACAGAGACATCTTCCAGGAGGCGGCACCTCTGTACAACAGTGCGCTCAAGGCCAGCGGTTACGCTGAGCAGATCGTGTACATGGAAGAGAGAGGAAAAGATGAAGAGAAAAAGAAAAACCGCAGACGAAACATCATCTGGTACAATCCTCCTTTCAGCAAAACAGTAGCCACGAATGTCGCGCAAAGATTCTTACATCTCGTCAAGAAGCATGTCCCACCTCGCTCACGCCTAAACAAAATATTCAACAGTAGCACAGTAAAAGTAAGTTACAGCTGCATGCAGAACATGTCTGGTGTACTAAAGGCGCACAACAATTCGGTCTTGCGGAAGAAGCAGAAAGATGATCAACAGAGAACAGAGAAAAGATGCAACTGCAGGGATAAAGTTTAACTGCCCCATGCATGGAAACTGCCAGATCCAGTCAATCGTATACAAGGCCAGCGTGACAGAAACCGGAACAGACGAAAGAAATGACTCGATTGAGTACCTCGGCCTAACGGAAATGACGTTCAAGAAGCGATACGACGGACACATGACGTCAATAAGGCATGAGCGAATGGAGAAGAGTACCGAGTTGTCGAAGCTCATCTGGGACATGAAGCATTGGTCAGTTGTCTACCAAACACCAGCATACTCCAATGCCACCAAGCGCTCCCCCCCCCCCCCCCCCCGTCTCTGTCTGTGTGAGAAGCTAGAGATCTTGCATGCTGACAGAAGGGTGAACATCAACAAGCGATCGGAGCTAGTGGCCAAGTGCAGACATGAGAACAAATTCTACCT